ATTCTGCCACATTTCAGCTCTTTATGTTGTTCGGTTGCCTGGTATATTGATCAAGAAACTTTCTATAATATTTTTAATCTTCTACTATTATTGGTTCTACATATTGCATTCCATCACTTTTAAATAAGTTAAACTTGGAATCATCACTAAACAATACCTTTTTCCATTCATTGTATGTCCACTCTTGATGGGTGCGTGCAAACAGTAGTCTTGCGGCTTTATTTTTTTTTGATAAAAGTATTTTCTTCGCTGGTCTTCGGGCAAATAGTTTATCTTTAATTAATCTATTGCGTATTGTACGTGTTGATACCTCCAAGTTGTGTGTTTCTTGTAACTCAGCCTTAATTTTGGCTGAAGAATAAAATTGATATTTTTTAGCTGTTCTTACAATTATTCTATCAAGGCAATTGGTTTTTCTGGGACATCCAGACTTTTTCTTCAAGTCTACAATATTAATACAATATTATTAATTAATACAATATTATTATTAAACGATATAGTTTAATAATACGCGATACTACACATTTGCGTAAAGAGAATTTGCGAGCGATATAATAATGATATTTGTTACCAGATAGAAATTCAATAAATGGTTTACATATTCGGAAAGAGCTGACCTTGGACTATCTTATTCCGAGTTTTCGTCCGTCAATATCTGTCAGCGTCTGTAAAAAAAAAACGCTCCTGAAAAGGAGCCTACAGTTGGCAACAAACTTTACTTTTGTATTTCCATCTATGTACTTTTCGGACGGATATCTTTGTTATTTATAACGCTAGCGAAAAACTAAGCACACGGTTGGAAAGCTTGGTCGTTTCTCTATCTTAAACCGAGTTTTCGTCCGCCGATATGTTGATAATGAGAGCAAGAAAAAATAAGAAACGTCGCGGTGCCACGAATTTTTGCCGCGGCTAAACCACGCTCGGATCAATAACTCTCTTATATGACGGGGAGAAAACTCTAGAGCTATATTCAACTTATGGGAAATTTTCTGCTCTTTTCATCGGTATATAACACATCTCAATCACACGTTTGCACAATCGTTTATCTGCCCAGCAACAAACTTTTCCCTAGTATTTCCGTTTACTTTTCGGGCCAATATTTTGGTTATCTGGAAAGATAGCGAAAAACTAAGCACACCGTTGGAGAGCTTGGTCGTTTCTCTATCTTAAACCGAGTTTTCGTAAGCCGATATGTTGATAATAAGAGCAAGAAAAAATAAGATACGTCGCGCTGCATTCAATTTACCTCAGAATTGCCAAACTTCACGGCCTTGTGCAGCCGTTACCAGATAGAAATTCAATAAATGGTTTACATATTCGGAAAGAGTTGACCTTGGACTATCTTATTCCGAGTTTTCGTCCGCCAATATCTATCAGCGTCTGTAAGAAAAATGCACCTGAAAAAGCCCCTACCGATGAAAACACGCAAATATTTCTTGCACTAATAACTTTCCTATTTGACAGGGAGAAAACTCTACAACTATATTCAGCTTATGGGAAATTTCCTGCTCTTTCCAACGATGTATGACACACCGTGATCACACGTTCGCACAATCCTTTTTTCTGACTATGAACTACCTAAACCACGAATTTTTGCCATGGCTAAACCACGCTTGGGTCAATTATATGAAGGGGAGAAAACTCTAGAACTATATTCATTATATGGGAGATTTTCTGCTCCTTCCAACGGTGTGCGCCGCACTTCGCTTACGCATATGCATACGCGTTTTTTAAATTGATAAACTAAATAACTTAAAATGCAAAGGTTGGTAACGTTACCTGATTCAAAAGCATCAAAACACAATTTCAGATTCTGATAAAATAGGTGTAACATGAAATAATCTTTCCGTTTTGAACAGTTTAACATGTTTCTAAATGTAAAACTAAAACTAGAACTAACACTAGCACTATCACTAGAACTAACACTAGACCTAGAACTAGAAACTTTCGGGTTCGCTTCGAACTTGTTTTCTGAAGAAGGTTGCAACATGGCATCCGACACGCCAAACATTTTATTAACACCGGCCGTGAAAGCCTTCGTATTTATGTATATGTGTTTAAACGGTTTCATATAAATTAAGAGTGAATGAAAGATTATCTGTCAACATGAAGGTTAGGATTCTCTCTCGGGTAAAACTTTGTCCCAATTTTTCCTTCATCAAATAAGAAAGTTAGGATAAGAAGTGATAATGTTCTGCTACCTGTAGGTTGTCTTTCAGGTGTGTTTCTTTTACAGACGTCGGCAGATATTGCCGGACGAAAACTCGAAATAAGACAGGCCAAGGTTAGCTCTTTTCGAATATGTAATAGTAAACCATTCGTTGAATTTCGTTCTGACAACGGCTGCACAAAGCCTTAAAGTGGGGCAATTTTGAAGTGATTTAAATGTAGTGTGTCGTTTCTTATTTTGTTCTGCTCATATTATTAATATATCGGCGGACGAAAACATGGTTTAAGATATAGAAAAGACCAAGCTTTCCAACCGTGTGCTTAATTTTTCGCTATCTTTCTAGATAACGAAAATATTAAGAAAAGTAGACGGAAATACAAGAGAAAAGTTTGTTGCTGGGCTGAAAAACGATTGTGCAAACGTGTGATTGAGATGTGTTATATACCGATGAAAAGAGCAGAAAATTTCCCATAGGATGAATATAGTTCTAGAGTTTCCTCCCCGTCATATAAGAAAGTTATTGACCCAAGCGTGGTTTAGCCGCTGCAAAAATTCGTGGCAGCGCGACGTTTCTTATTTTTTCTTGCTCTCATTATCAACATATCGATTTAAGGGTTTAAGATAGAAAAACGACCAAGCTTTCCAACCGTGTGCTTAGTTTTCCGCTAGCGTTACAAATAACAAAGATATCCGTCCGAAAAGTACATAGATGGAAATACAAAAGTAAAGTTGTTGCCAACTGTAGGCTCTTTTTCAGGAGCGTTTTTTTTTACAGACGCCGACAGATATTGACGGACGAAAACTCGGAATAAGATAGTCCAAGGTCAGCTCTTTCCGAATATGTAAACCATTTATTGAATTTCCATCTGGTAATGGCCACACAAGGCCGTGAAGTTTGGTAATTCTGAGGTAAATTGAATGCATCACGACGTTTCTTATTTTTTCTTGCTCTTATTATCAACATATCGGACGAAAATACGGTTTAAGATAGAGAAAAGGCCAAGCTTTTCAACCGTGTGAGTTACAGTCTTAGTTTTTCGCTATCTTTCTAGATAGCGAAGATATGAGCCCTAGAAGTAGGTGGAAATATAAAGGAAAAAGTTTGTTGCTATCGTCTCGCCGGTCGAGAAATAATATTTTTTGAGAGGGGTACAAATATTTGAGATTAAGTTATACCTCTTTAGAAGTTTCCAGGATGAAGAGATTGTTGTATAAAATTTTCCTTGAACAATTAATTGCGGAAGGAAATTTTCTCGAACTTCATTTACAATTATCTATTTATGGTTAGAGCAATCAGTAAACTTTAGTTTGTTGAAAGAAGTTAACATAACAAGATAATAATTTAATAATCTCCATAATCAAAATACATTTAGGTTAATGGTTTCCTTGTAACTGAAACTTATTAATGTCATCATTAACATTTATAACTTGTATTTATGTAATAAGCGACAAAACAAGCATTTTATCCATTCGAACTGGCATGATTACGCAACATTTTTTTAAAAAACAAACTCTTTCAATAAGACGTTGCCGTAAATTTGAAACGGGATTTTCCACTTTCACCTCTCGGGATTCGCTTCTCGTGCAATTATTGGTCGAGCACGCAATTATGCATAATACACGTAAGTTTAAGCAGTCATAGGCGAAGACTTCGCCGGTTAAAATGTTTTATAGGAGAGGAATATCCCATGCGTTGTCCTAAGTTTATCTTTACCACTTTCACTCTACACCGAAGTTAGTCTTAATTAGACGTAACTCTACGTAGGAGTTCGTTCTTGTTAGAAAACAGCTGTTGTAGCGCTTTATAGAAGTTTCGTTTGGAACCAATTTATTCTGGGTTTCCGGGTACTACAAATGGAAATTGAGTAATGATCAAAACTGCTGTAAGCTTGATAAAATTAAACAACAACTTTAAAACTTTCTTAACTTCATACTTTTGACTTTCAAAAACCATTTAAGAAAAAGAAATATTGAAATGATCTCCAACAATACGTAGTAAAAAGGATTAGAAATAGTTGTTCTCAAAGATAATTAGTGTCTTAAACCGAATGAGTCTTCAACTTTTCACTTTCCCTGGAACGTATTACGCAATAGCACGCGGGTAAAACCAACAATGAATGAGTAAAACTTCCCTCTTCCCGGTGTTTTCCATAAAACATAAAAAAGAAAACAATATTTAAAGATTGTGCGTTGTTCCCGCGAGTACGAGGAGAAAGCGCGCGTTTAATTCAAAATACATAATTATCACCATAGTTAAAGAACTAAATGCGAACGAATCGATTCGCAAAAGAAATATTATAATTGAATCGGTATTAAATCGATATAAGTAATAGTAGATGCATTGAAAATCTTAATGGTGCTGTAAATAAGAGTGTACGCAATATATTGGAATATAATTACACTTTATCAAAGTGAAAGTAAGCCAAACTAACATAAAATTTATTGTAATGTATTTAAGATTGATTAATGAATAGCTTATTATTACTATCGTTATTGATGCAATATATTTCAATTTTTAACCTTTTAGAGCACCGCAATTGGTTCTACAGAGTATTTTGCAGTGGAGGTGTTGATCCTGAAGACATAAACAATCCTTTAGACAACAAAGAACACGGTTTCATGGTATTCTTCAGAGATTCCTTTGCAAAGTTCCTCAACAACGGACTAGTCAAAACGCTAATAATTTTCATCTTCGGTTTCTACCTCCTTGGTGCTTTCTATGGAGTTACTAAAATTGAAGAAGGATTGGAACGAAGAAAAGTTGCCAAAAAAGATTCCTACGCTATCGAATTTTTCGATCGAGAAGACGATTATTATAGAGAATTTCCTTATAGGTAATTATAACAAATATAATTTCAAACAATTTATGATCCATAATAAATGTTATGTTTTATTATAGGATTCAAGTTATTGTTGATGGCGAATACGATTATTCTGATCCCCACGTACAATTTATGGTGGAAAATTTGACGCAAACGTTTGAAAATACTTCCTACATTTCTAATCCGCTTTATACCGAGTCTTGGTTAAGAAGTTTTTTGCAGTACATTAACGCCAACGCAGAATACTTAAATGTGTCGATAAATACACCTACGGAGTTTATAAAAGTCTTAAAAGAGGTAAGGAGATATTTAAGTATCTAATACTTGATCAAATTGTACTTTTTATGGGTTGTGAAAAATCATTTATATATTTTCTCTAAATTTCCTTGTTTATGTCTAAATACTATTATAAGTCTTTTGACTGGTGTTAAAAAGTGTAGCAAATCTAAATCCAAAGCATGACAACACAAGCAGAAAGCAATCCAAGTCTAAACCAAGCTAGCCATAATATGATACACTGATTGGATTGGGTCTAAAGCAATTCAACAAAACCATAAATCAAGCTTAGCCAACCTCAAACCAATCTAATCTAATTCCAAAGCAAGCCAATCTTATCCTAAACTCAAAACGTGGCAACCCAACCTTTTTTTTTTAACGAGGTTGGGGAAAATCTGATAATCAGACATCTTGGACGGCCGGATAGTGTGGGATTGGAGTTCCTCCCAATCTCGCGTTCATTTCCATTCTGTTTTCCTTCCACCTTACACATTCAAACACTGTATGCTGCACATCATCTGCTTTGTTGCAATATAAGCATCTATCTGTTTCGCTCCTAACGTGCTTGTGCAAGTATGCTCTGAATCATCCGTGGCCACTCAGCACTTGACTCCAATAGTAGTCCATCTGCCCCCATTTGCGTGTCAGCCAGTGCTTTATTTCAGGCATGATCCTTTTCGTCCACTCAGCCTTTCCAGTTCTTTCTTGCCATCTGCACTCCCACTCCCTCATGATCTCTTCCTTTACTCTCTCCCGTTCCCCCTCTTTTTTCTCTGTACTTCTCCGTTTAACCATCAAATCTATTGGCATCGAATCGCTCAGCACCAACAGCGCCTCACCGGTGTGAAAACAGCACGCCAAACATAGCAACCCGTTTTACCGAAGACATCCGAATATTTACCGTATATTCGTATAGTCGGTTTTACACGATCATTTTTAGGTAAAATAAAAAGTACAGTGTGGGTAAATAACCCCACATAAACGAGAATGTGCTCCACGAATCTGACTACTGTAAAGTGTATCTAAAACTACCCCTTATGAAATAGAGTGGTCAGATTTTGTTGCGGTCATTTCCTAAAGACGCTTTTAGCCACCCCCGAGAAAAAAAATCCTCACGTGTAAACGAGATTGTACTCCGCGGATCTGGCGACTGTAAAATATACCTATAATTACTCCCTATGAGATAGCATGCCCAGATTTTCTTGTAGTCATTTCCTAAAGACGGTTTTAGCCACCCCTAAACGAAAAAAATTCGCCCCAAGTAAACGCAAAAGTGCTCCGCTTATATGACTACTGCTAATTGTACATAAAATTATCCTCTACATGATAGAGTGGCCAGATTTTGTTGCACTCATTTCCTAAAGACGGTTTTCCCACACCCAAACGAAAAAAATTAGCCACAAGTAAACGCAAAAGTGCTCCGCTTATCTGACTACTGCTAATTGTACATAAAATTACCCTCTACAAGATAGCATGGCCAGATTTTGTTGCACTCATTTCCTAAAGACGGTTTTACCACCCCCAAACGAAAAAACTTCGCCACAAGTAAACGCAAATGTGCTCCGCGTATCTAACTACTGCTAATTGTATCTAAAATTATTCTCTATAAGATAGCTTGGCTAGATCTTGTTGCACTCATTTCCTAAAGACGGTTTTACCACCCCCAAACGAAAAAAAATTGCCACAAGTAAACGCAAATGTGCTCCGCTGATCTGACTACTTAAAATTGTATCTGAAATTATTTTAATTTTGATTACTTTAAATATGAGGACATGGAACTCTTTCACAAATGTGATAGAGATTTTAAAATGGACCTGGAACTGTTCGAAATTAAGAAACACTGACAATGTTTGACATTGTTTAATTACCAAACAGATCAGGTTATAATAAACTTATTATCGTTGTGCGCTGTCTCGTGTCTCGCATCTATCCATCGGCATCGTAAACTTTTATCTTGTTTCTGTGGTATATTTTACATTATTTCGGATCTTATTTTTTGTGCTTTATTTTATTAGCTAATTTTGTCTCTATTGACAAATTACAGCCATTCTTTGGATATTATTTGTTTCATACTCGTATATTAGGTTTTACTTTACTTACTTAACTTCTGCACAAATCACGTGTTTTTCTTGATTGACGGGAAAACCGTCTTTAGGAAATGAGTGCAACAAAATCTGGCCACGCTATCTTGTAGAGGGTAATTTTATGTACGATTAGCAGTAGTCAGATAAGCGGAACATATTTGCGTTTACTTGTGGCGAATTTTTTTCGTTTAGGGGTGGGAAAACCGCCTTTAGAAAATGAGTGCAACAAAGTCTGGCCACGCTATCTTGTAAAGGGTAATTTTATGTACAATTAGCAGTAGTCAGATAAGCGGAGCACTTTTGCGTTTACTTGTGGCGAATTTTTTTCGTTTGGGGGTAGGAAAACCGTCTTTAGGAAATGAGTGCAACAAAATCTGGCCACGCTATCTTGTAGAGAATAATTTTAGATACAATTAGCAATAGTCAGATACTCGGAGCACATTCGCGTTTACTTGTGGCGAATTTTTTTCTTTAGGGGGTGGCTAAAAGCGTCCTTAGGAAATGACTACAAGAAAATCTGGGCACGCTATCTCCTAGGGAGTAATTATAGGTATATTTTACAGTCATCAGATTCGCGGAGTACAATCTCGTTTACACGTGAGGATATTTTTCTTGGGGGTGGTAAAAGCGTCTTTAGGAAATGACCGCAACAAAATCTGACCACTCTATTTCATAAGGGGTAGTTTTAGATACACTTTACAGTAGTCAGATTCGCGGAGCACATTCTCGTTTACGTGGGGTTATACCATTTATTTTACCTAAAAATGATCGTGTAAAACCGACTTTAGCCTATACTCGGATGTCTTCGGTAAAACGGGTTGCTATGTTTGGCGTGCTGTTTTCACACCGGTCAGCGCCTCCGTGGACACCATTCTATAGGCACCGATTGTCCTTATAAGAATCTGCCTTTGTACCCTTCGTCAGTTTCTTCACATTTTGTTTCTCTCTGAGTGTCTTTCTCCATGTTTCGCAGGCATACAACATCTGCGACCATATGACTGTCCCCAGGATCTTTCTATTATTTGCTTCTGGTCCATACGTGGTCCCCATAACACCTTGCATTGTTCTTTGTGCCTTTTTACTCACGTAGTCGATGTGCGCTCTCCACCTCAGATCCCTCCCTATCATCACACCCAAATATTTGAGGGCTTCCGTTGTCTTGATAGTATGTCCGATCGTATTAATTTCCACCACTCCACCGTGCTTTCTGCTCTTCAGGAAGATCGCCTTAGTCTTCTCAGGCGCCAGCTCAATGCTCATTCTTGACATCTCTTCTGCTATCCTGTTAATTGTTTATTGAGCGATCATTCTGATATTTTCCATGTCCCAACCGGTGATAACCACCCCCAAGTTGTCCGCATATGCAACGAGGCTTACTTCCCTTTCTCTTTCATTTCTGAGGATCCTATCAAAAAAGACGTTCCACAAAGTCGGGCCCAATATTGACCCCTGCGTCACTCCCCTCGTGATCTGATACCTCCCTCCGTTGTATTCCACGTATCTGTTGTTTAGGTATCCCTTCATACGTCTGATTAGGTGTTCTGATAATCCTCTCTCTTCCATACTCTCTATTATCTGTGGCAGTTTCAAATGCGTTTCGTATGTCTAAAGTGACTAGCGTACATTTCCTCCTAAATCTTTCCAGATCCCTCGCCTTTCTCAGCACCTCATCAATCGCCTGTGAGGTTGATCTTCCTTTCACAAAGCCATATTGTTCTTTACGGAATCCTCCTTTTCCAGCTCCTCCATTATTCTCTCCTTCAATACGCTCTCGAATAGTTTCCCTAGGCTGTTTAACAGGCACAATGGCCTGTACGCTTTTTTCTGGGTTTTTGTAGAAATATCGCCAATTATTAATTAAAGTACCCTCTTTTTAGAGTTGCTTCGTTAGTTTAAATCAGCATCCAAAAAATTCATTTTGTATCTTGGATCCAAATAAGTTGACATATCTTATCAGCTTTCTTATTAATTTCATTTTTATTTAAATATCGCAATAATGTGGCAATATAGGCTATCACTTCAAAAATGTACCAGAAATTATAACCATAATGGCGGATACCCGGATATCCAGCCGAAGGGGATGCCGAATATCCGGTATCCGGCTTTTCGCAAAATCAGTATCCGAAGGCTTCCATTACTAAGTGCTGATCATTCGAAAAAATGATAATTCTGTAAAAATTGGACACGGTCTATTAAATAATTGCGATTTGTATGATTCTTTAATATTATTTTAATTTTTAGTATTACTTTTTTGTTATAAGATTTTTTGTTCAATCCATAAAATCTATTTGTACATTTAAATTAAATGCTTTATCTCATTTAATAATAAATTTCAGCATTGGCTTTATCCGGCAAGTGCATTTTCTTTAGACGTCAAGTTCAATGAAGCCGGCGACAAGATAATTGGAATGAGATTTTTGATCCAAGCCGTTAACATATCCGGCACCGAACACGAAAAGGAAATGGTTAGAGCAATAAGACAACTCTGTAAGGATTCTCCTTTAAACGTTACTGTTTTTCATCCTTATTTTGTCTTCTTTGATCAGGTATGTTATATACATTTTATAAAAAATTATTCTTAACTCTAATTTTATTTAATTTTTTTTTAGTTTGAATTAGTTCGTCCACTTTCCATTCAAAACATGATCTTAGGAGCGATTGTAATGATGATAATTTCATTTTTATTCATTCCAAACATTCTTTGTTCCATCTGGGTGGCTTTTAGTATAATTTCAATTGAAACTGGAGTAATCGGTTACATGGCTTTATGGAAAGTAAATTTGGATTCGATTTCGATGATTAATTTAATAATGTGTATAGGATTCAGCGTTGATTTTACCGCTCACATTTGCTACGCTTACATGTCATCGAAAGCAAAACACCCAGATGAAAGAGTTAAAGAGTGTCTTTACGCTTTGGGGCTTCCAATTTTTCAAGGATCTGTTAGCACAATTTTAGGAATGGTTGCGTTATTATTAGCTGATAATTACATATTTTCGGTTTTCTTTAAAATGGTGTTTTTGGTAGTTTTTTGTGGAGCGATGCATGGATTATTTTTACTTCCGGTTTTATTGTCGTTATTTGGACCAGGAGCTTGTAGTAGAAGTAATAAATCAGAGAAAGAACTTCCATCGATAGATAGCAACCTTCCAAGGCCGTATTATATTCCACATCCGCAATTAACTTTAAACCCGATGCATTTAACGTCGAATTTAAAACTCCAAAATTTGCCGGAAGTTAAAAAAGAAAGGCGCTCCCGAGAATTGGATAAAGATTTAGGTTTGGGAACCTCGGAAGAAAATTCTAGCGAATCCAGTTCGAATAGATCTAATAATAACAATAAGAATGCTGTGCAAGAAGAGGAAATGATCGAAAGGATTTATAAGGAAAGATGGAGGAGAAACTCTTTGTCTGATTACCCTCAATGCGAATTTCATTCATCGCAAGTTTTGGATCTTTACACTCCAGATTGGGAAAACACCCGCGAAAGAAATATATCGCAATATCGAAGCCATCATTACCAAAAACCACCACATAAAATTACCCCCGCTGATTATAGACGGAGGTATTCGCCACCTGAACACGTTTATTATCGAAATCCAAATTTAGTTCGATCAAATTCTTATCAAAACCTAAATCCATCGTTTATTAAGGAATTACGATTTCCTTGACGAAAAAAATATATTTTTAGTAGTTGGTTATAGAAATTGAGTCTTTTATCGTATTTGTTTGGGATTAGTAAAACTAGAGTAATAAATAAAGAAAAGAAGAAGACAGTTTAGTGATTAAAAAACATATTTTTGTAATAATGCAACATTATCAGTGATAAAATTTGAAGTGCTAAAGAACATTTACGGGTCGCTCTGCTAAGAAACGTGCCTTAGTGAAAAAAAGGTGTTAATTTTTCAATCGTGTTTAAGAATAAAAATGTCTCAAATATTTTTATTTAAGTTATTAATGTGTAGAGAAAATGAATACCTATTTTAGTTTTTGATAAAATTTATTATAACTCGATTCGATTTACGATTGCGATAATATAGGAATTATTTGTCATGTTTATAGAAAATCAATAAAGATGTGGCAAAAAAATTTCACAAAATACCTTAATTTAAAACCCTTACATCATTTTATGCAGCGCTGTTAAGATTGTTTAGAAAATAATTTTTTTAACCTCTTTCAAAACAACATAATAACAGATATGATAAATACAGAATAAATAATTCAAATTTATTGTTGTAATCCATCACTGCAAATCGTCATATCCGTATAAATAATAATATTGTTCATGACAATTTACACTGACACAAGATATTCCTCGCACGACTAAGACATTTTCCACTAGATAGGCTTTTGCGCAGTCACCTGTTGCGGTAGTACATTGAAGAATTTCGGTCTCCAGCAATCCATGTTGAGGTAATTTTATGGTACGCTAGGTACTTGCAATTGGTGTCGTGGCCTTGTTTGGTAGCTATGAGTACTACCGATAGAAGGATACTTTTTCGTGATGTTGTAAACATGCAGCAATGCACTTAGTATATACATACTTGATAAAGTAAGTATATACTCCTACAACTTTCATCTACGTGAGTGGCCACCTGCTTTGACCTGAAGATACCTCAAGTGCACATTCCACGTCAACCCGCAATCCAGATGCAAACCTAGAAATTTCATACTGACAGATTCCAACAGTATATGTTCCGTTTCATCACATTAAAGTTTCAACAAGTTCTCTTTACACCACTCCTGACAGGATATTATAGGTTGTTCCGATTTAGCCTTCAAGTTAAGCTTTGCACTGTCTTTCAATACTATGGACATGACATCGACATAGAGATGTGTTTCTGCATCAATATTGCATGGCATATCATTAGTATATGTATATGATAAATAGAAGAGGTCCCAGTACAGATCCCTGAGGGACTCCATGTTTGATTTTTATATTGGATATGTTGGAGCAATGTCCAGAGCTAGACCTATATGCGACCCTAAAGAAAAACATCATCAATCGTCTTTCTCTAAGCGAAGAAAAACGATTGAACGACCTTCTCTCAAATACGCATATAGGAGAACAAAAGCCTTCAGATTTCTACCGAGAACTTTTATCCGATATAGGCAGGTAGTAAGTCCAGATCTTCTTTTGAAGCTCTGGAGGACACGGTTGCCAAACAGTATTTCGTAGCGCTGTTAGCCTCTGACAAAGAAGAGGTGACAGATCTATTGATCTGGGAAACAATCAGTTCCTCGCCAAGCATATACCAATCCACACACTTAAATTACAACAACTCATTCTATTCACACAATCCAACAACCTCATAACCAATAAACACTTCTACTTCACACATCACTCAAACCAACACACAACCGAATATGACCGACATGATGAAAGGTTTCGATACCTTCACCACGACATGTCAGAGTATATTTAGCACATTTGCGCAAAAACAGGCAGCAATTGACCCCCAAATTGTTTCAATCAACAGCAAGCTAAGCAACAACAGTAATGAATCCCAAATCACCACACTGCATTTATCGTCGTAGCAGACCTCCATCTTCATCTTACCGAACATCCACAAGAAGCCCATCACGCGGATCTAATATCTCCATTTATCACACTAAATATGGCGATCGTAATAGATATTAAACATCAGCGAGTTATCGATTGTGAAACAAATCTTTCAGCAATAGGCTTCCTCTCACGTACTTCTTCTGCTCAACCACGCCTTTCCTTTATTGAAACAAAATTTACTCAATTACTAAAAAATTTCCAAATTTAACGTCTCCTCGCGATTTCTCCATTCCTGTAAAATCATCATCAACCAACTCAAACAACACATAAGATAATAACTAACTCTCATCTACCCCCCTCAACGACTAGATTTCAGAAAACTTTCTATAGCTAAAAAAGAATTTGAAATTTGCCCTTGCGGAGACTATAGGCAACTTAACCATATCACAGTTCCAGATCTTTATCCATTGCCTCACATACAAGATTTTAATCTTCACTTATTTGATTGTATCATTTTTTCGAAAATTGATTTAATTCGGGCTTACCACTAAATTCCGGTTGCAACCAAAGATATTTACAAAACGGCAATAACCACACCATTTGGTCTATTTGAATTTTTGCGAATGCCTTTTGGTTTGCGAAATGGCGCCCAAACATTTCAAAGATTCATCAATGAAGTTCTTACTGGTCTAACTTTCCTTTTTGTCTATTTAGATGATATTTTAATAGCTAGTAAATCCGAAGATGAACACTTAGAACATCTAAGAATTCTTTTTGAAAGATTAAACAGTTATAATATAAATATACAACCAAATAAATGTATATTTGACGTCCCCTCATTAGATTTTTTAAGTCATACAGTATCAGAAAAAGGAATTCGAACTTCTAAATCAAGAATAGACATCATATCCAAATTTCCTCAACCAAAAACAATAAAAGAACTTCAACGTTTCTTAGGAATGTTAAATATTTATCACCGTTTCATACCCAACCTATCAGAAATCTTAGTCCCACTACATAAACTAGTAAATAAATTGTAACTTGAAAAAATCAAAAACATAACACTCTGGACAACAGAAGGAGAACATCCTTTCTCTAAAGCCAAAGACTCTCTGGTCAATGTTGCACTTCTCTCACATATTGCTCCAACAGGATCGTTTTCTCTATATACTGATTCTTCAGAAACACGAATAGGAGCTGTTCTTTCCCAACATAATCGTTAAAATTTAATTAAAAATATATTAGTAATACGCTTTTGACGTATGTGTTGAATCAATGAATTTATTGAAAGGAATGAAATATTTTTATTTGAAAATAGGAAAAATATATTGTGGCATCTTGGATTTAGGGAATGGACTTTGCAGACATGACGCTACACATGTTTTAATACAATGGGTGCAATGAGATCTTATAAGACGGCTACTCTTGATGCCCTACTCGGTCTCATACCACTTCATTTAAACAAACACAAGGAGACAGCTTTAAGTGCCTTATCACTGTAGACATGCTCTTCACTCAAGTTGATGCAGGGTAACCTCAGAAGACATCTCGAAATCCTCAAGGACCCATGTCTAAACCTCTTGATTGAAATTAAAACGGACCTTATACCGACAGTATATAATTTCGACCAGCCGTATAATGTCATATTTAGAAGCAGGGATGATTGGACGAAGCGTGAGTCTCAACTTAAAAGAGGAGTCCTTGCCTGATACACCGATGCTTCAAATAAACATTTTCAGAGAGTGTACCAGCAATCTGAAAGAAATCGCTAGGGCAGACACAATGAGGGCAATGAAAAGGCGGACAAGCTGGCCAAAGGATTAAGACCTTGGAGCAATACTGACCACTACTAAGAATCATCAAGGACCTACATTTGTCCTAATGCATTTTGAACACTGAGTGGTTTGCACAATTTCAATATCAACTCTAAGAAAATCACACGTAAACTGAACCAAAGAAATAAAAGCACATCAAAATTACACCTTCGGACGTAGGAAAAGAAACTAATTTTTGTCTTATTTTCTTCACGCATTTGTTACAATTTACAAAACAATCTCTTGGCATAAAAATTAAATAATGTTATTCCAAATAAACAACCTCTTTAATCTGTTTCTAGGAATTTCCGAAAAATTTCGTAATTTTTTTGTTATTAACAGTATTATTTGCTTTTCTACAAATTAGGTAAAAATTTCGGCTACGCAAAAATGGCCAAACTTTTAATAATCTTTTTAATAAGATTTTATTAAATTGATTAAATTCATTTTCAATTCTTAATATTAAATTGAAAAACTATATTCATTAGCTTTGTTCGTTGGGTCTTCCCTACTCTGCACGACATGGCACTAGTATAATAATAATAATCGCTTTATTGCCTCACAAAAATAAATAAATACAAAAAGAAAAAGTACAAAAAATCGCAAATAAAGAAAAAAGATTATAATATAAAAAATACAAAATTAACTTTTAGAGGCAATCTCATGGTGGAGTTCAATTACAGTGAATTGGTCTTCCACTACACCATGTATTACTGTGCAACTCTTTTATACAATTGGCGCATAATACTTAAACTAATACGTATTCTTGAAAGTTCAACATAGTTTAACACATAACCGACTCACCCCCGGCCGCACGGACCACGCACACGCTGCGCCGCCCACGCCCCACAAAATGATCATTGCTTATTGAATAAGTAATCTTTATATTTGTTTTTAAAAAGTTTTAAGGATGTACTACAAAGATGTGCTGGCAAGTGATTAAAGAAATTTGCTATACGGTATGTAAAACATGATTTATAAAATTCTGTCTTATGAGCAGGAGGTGTTAGCCTTCCCCTAAATCTAACATTGATGTTATGTACATCCGAACGGAATGTAAGCTTGCTGTAAAGATAAGGCGGTTTTTCCGTTGCAATAGTATTATAAAATAAGCATGCAGAGTGAGCGAGTCTCCGATTACACATATTTAGCCAGTCTGCTGTATGCAAGTATGGTGATACACTCTCCCATCGACGCAACCCAAACATAAAACGTATACACGAATTTTGAACCTTTTGAATTTTATATTTTAGTACCGAAGTTAAAAAGGGAGAGTAAAGAACATCTCCGTAATTAAAAGTTGACAATACCAAAGAATCGCAAAGCAACCTTTTTGTTTTTAAATTTAAAAAGGATCTTTGGGAGTACAAACATTTTAACTTAGCATAAGCTTTTCGCAGACAGCTGTTAACATGGTTACTGAAAGTAAGTCGCTCATCAATAAGCACACCCAAGTTCCTCACCACCCCCTTCAATTCCAACACACACCCCAACTCTACCCCGTACCCGCTCTTTCACTTTCGTTGGACCAAAGAGTATAATTTCTGTTTTTTTTGGATTTATAATTAAGTTGTGACGCCGAGATAGTCCAATTATAGCCTTTAAATCCTGATTCAACTTTCGACATGCATCGTCGACTTCATCAGGAGAAAAAGATATACTCAACTGAGTATCATCGGCGTAGAAATGTGGTTGACTGTATTGTATGCAACTTATGAAATTGGCTGTGTATAGTGTGTATAGCAAAGGCGACAAGACTTAACCTTGCGGGCATCCGCACCTTGTAGGAATAAACTCCGATCTAACCCTTGAACCCTTCCTAAAAGCTTTGGAATAATCCAGAAGACAAACTAACGTCAGATTTCCTCTATCAGTCTGTTCAACTATATCGTCAACAATGTTCAAAAGTGCAGTAACACAACTAAATCCAGCACGAAACCCAGATTGAGTTGTCGGTAGTAAATTATTTGAAGATACGAAGTTATTAAGTTGGTTAAACATAACCTTTTCTAAAATCTTGGATAAGACTGGTAGTATACTTATGGGTCGAAGATCTGAGATATTAACAGGTTCACGCACCTTAGGTAGAGGCAAAATTAAAGCTGACTTCCATGGGGTAGGGAACTTACCACTAGCAATACACTCATTAACAATATGTGTCAGATACGGGATCAAATGAAGAACTGTCAATTTTATAACTTTTGCGTTTAAATTATCCCAGCCCATTGCGTTGCTTTTTATGCCACTTATAATTTGTACGACATCAAGGTCCTTGACAGACTGAAATGAAAACCCGCACGATGGTCTCCCAGCGTTGTTATAGAAACTACAAAGCTCATGATCGATGTTATTGCTTGGAGAGGTAACGGAATTGACAAAAAAGCGGTTAATTTTATCTGGGTGACATAGGTGTAGTGGGACAGCATCAATTGTTTTTTTAGGTATAGCAAATTGTTTCAGTGCCAACCAGGGATGTTTATTAGTGTTAATGGATAGTTCTAAATATGCTTTTCTTTCTCTGTTGATGGCACCATTCACATAATTGCGCAAGTCCTTATAAAAAACCCACTTCGCCGTGGTATTACATTTTTTAAAGTCTTTCAGAGCTTTATCTCTGAAATTTTGCATTTCAATAACTGTCTCAATGGCGCATGCCTATCAATTATCTCCACTATGCCTTCTGTTAGAAACATAACCTTATCGTCAACATCTATCACATCAAATATGCTATAAAAAGGAAAATGACAAAGATCCAAATAGAAACTCTCATAGTCGAAATCTTTAAACACCGATAGTATAGTATGACGTCATAGTGCAATTAAGTGTAAGCAAGGTTATGTCAACTGAGTGCAGATTTGAAAAGTGTGTAAAGTGTGGTCGCAACGAACAGGTTTTTATCAAGAAAATGTATAATATTTGAAATTAACGAACAGGAGATTGTCAGCGAAATAGTTTTCATTTCTTCGATTAACTCCTGCCTTTGTTTAAATTTTCGTTCCTCATTTACGTTTTTAAATTTAAACATTTCTTCTTGCAATTGTCTTAATTTACTTAATTCTCGAGTTTGTATTTCTTAAATTACCACTTGGTCAGTTAAATTGATTGGAGGTTCTGTTACTGTTGGTGTAAAGCATCTTTCGGCTGAGGAACCGAAACGTCTATAGAAATCTTCTATGCATTTTTCTATTGCATAATCTGGTTTTCCCATATCATCGATATTCCCCATTGTCGAGCTCCCTAAGGTACAAATGGGTTGTATAGAGTGACGCTTTTCTAAAATATCCTCTAATTCCCGTTCGTATCGCTTATCAAATTCCACATTTTCTTTAAAGTTTTTATTTTTCGTTCTTCAACTAAAGTTTGTTTTTCTTTATTGAGATGCAGCAATAATTTTGTTTTGGCATCATCCCAATCCATTTTTTCATATTCCTTATTCTCTTAATCATTATTTCTTAATACGCCCATCTTCAAAACTATAACATTCTTGTCCATTTCCTACTGCCTCTACTGGCATTGAATGCACTGTGTTCTCTAATACAACAAATATTAGCTTATACCTACAACAATCAAATAACAATTCTTTTCGATGAGTTTATCTCCATCTTCATTTATTACAAAACACGCTTCCAAATATTCAGCCATTTTAGTTACACTGAATTACACTGCACTTGTTGAACTTAACCGAAACCAGGTTCAACAAAATTTGCACCAACTTGCACCGACTTCACGAAATTATACTGCCCATGGCCAAACGAACAGTATGAGCGCAACTGCACTAAACTACACTATTCCCAACGAACACACAACATCTGCACTAAACTGCTTAGTGTAAGTAGAGCAGTCCCAACGAACAAAGCTATTATAAAATAAGTTCAAAAGTAAGCCTCACCAGGTTAAGAGAAAAAAATCGTACACACCAATGAGCTGATCGGTCGGTTTATTACAAATCATAAGATAATTTGATTGGAATTGTATTTAAAGGATTGAACTAAAGATTTAGTTTAAAAAAAGTTTTGTTATTATAAATACTTTTTTATTTTACTTATATTGCTTATAAAGCATAAAACGTACTAACTATTGGACAACCACAAAGTAAACATGTTTTATTAATCATGGAAGTTAATATTGACTATATGATCATTGTAAATAAAAATGAACATATATGAAAAAATCAACAAACCGTGAATTATTTCAAAAAACGTTTAAAATTAAATCATGTGGAAATAAGTATGATAGAAACTACAAAAACGCACGCATTTAGATGGTCTCCAAATATTCCTGCAAGCCTTCAGATATTAACATTAACTCTTGTCTAGTACAAATGTTCATTAAATTTTGCCACATATCTGATATGTCCGTATTCGCCCTTTTTAACCGTTCAAAAGGCGAAACAAGTAAAGCCTGCGAAATCAAAACAAAATTTTTTAAAACAATATCCAATTAAAACAATAAAAAAGACTTACGTTATTTTCAGTATCTCCGTTAACAGGTAAACTAGGATCTTCAGAAGGAACCATCGAACTTTCAACTTGTTCCTCCAATTTTTCTTTAGAATTATACTTGTCCGCGAAGGCACTCAAAGCGCTGATAATCGTCGATACTTTAGGATTACTCAGAAACTCCATTTGATTCACTTGAGTCGAAGTTAATTTCGCCAAATCACCGACCGTACTTAATTTTAACGAAAGAAAGTTGTCGTAGAAATTACTATCTTCATTTATTTGCTTTAATACTTCTTTTATATCGTTTGGACAGTTTATTAATGGAGGGTAAATGGGTGTTGATTTTCTTTGATTCAATTCGGACAAACACGAATCATTTTCCGATTTCATATCTTCCGCTTCATCTTTGTAATACATTTTTTCTGCCGTTATTGGAGGATCGCTAAAGTTCACTCGTTTACGCTACAATAATAATAATGAAGTAAATTAGTATTTATTATCAATCAAATCAGCATAAAGGTATTGGCAATAGAGTCGGAACCAAAAAAAGATAATAAATATTAAAACAAAAATTTAAAAGCGACATTCGTTCTAATTGAAGAAGGATTCTATATACTTTTTTTACTCACAATCAGTGTAACAAGTGAAGACGAAAATGATTAATATGAAATAAACGTAACGTTAGAACAGATGAAGAATAACAGATGCCCATGAGAAGATCAAGTTACTAAAGAAATGTTAAAACTTGGAGGTGAAACTCTACGTGATCTCCATGGTGGTAAAATTTCAACTAAATGGTGCAATTCCAAGATAAAATACTTCTTCAAGAAGAGGGATAAAACGAATATCGAAAATTACAGGCCTATAGCCTTCCTATCGCATTTATATGACCTATTTATAAAAATTATAACAAATCGTTTAACTTCTAAATTACATTTTTATCAACCCGTGAAACAGACCGAGTTTAGAAAGGGAGATAGCACGATAGACAACGATAGAAAATACAATGTACATCTACTATCCGTGTCATAAGTCAAGGGCCCTCACTTTAAAGTTCGATATCTTCGAAACCGCTCGATAAAAAACATGAACGAAAAAAACTGAACATTCCTACGTAACATATGTTAATTTAAAAATGTTCGGATCCGCGGTTTTTTTTATCGCGAGTTAAATGAAAAAGTACCCGATTTTTTACGGTGAACTTTGTTCACTTTGCAATTTTTTTCTCAAAAACTATCTGACGAAAATTCAATTTCTGTTCAATTTTGAACAGGTGGTGAGTTCTTAATGAGGAGTATACTTTATTTTTTCTATATTCCATATAGTTTCGCGAAAAATCGCAATTTAGTAGGTCGCCGGTTTTAACCAAAATATGTAAAATAATTACGTTTATCATTAATTTTTTTAGGGGGATTTAAACGAATTATAAATTAAAAAGAAACAGAAATCAACCCTGCGGGGAGAAAGGGGTTCCGTCCAAGTCGAAAAGATGGTGCGTTCCAGATAGGACGTCGCGCATTTATCTTACCTACATAAAGAAATAAAAGCGCGACGTCCTGTCTCTGGAATACACACTAGTACCCAAGGTCTATAGAACATAAGGTTACCCAATGCCGATTCTCCTCCTCTGAGGGACAAGGTGGGTCAGTGACGTAGCTGGTTCTATGAACAACACAACACGATGCGAGGTTTAAATATTTTATATAGACTGTACCACAGTATAGGCACGTATAGGCTATCTTTTACTCTAACTGTATAGAACCAGTGACGTCAATCTGCGGGGTAATAATCATATGTAAAGCGGCCCATACACGATGACTCTTGCGGCGGTGCCACCAGAGCCGCCGCAAGAGCCGCATGCGACCGATTTTAACGGCCTACACACGTAGACTCTTGTGGCGTCGTGCCGCACTTCTTTAATCGACGGACCTATACCAATGCATATCTGGCCAGACAATAGCCAAGAAATTGGGTGCAGAATACCAATACTACTTGCAGAAAACTAAATACTTCCTATAGAGGACCAAAAATTCCTTGCGGAAGACAAATACTACCTATACAATACTAGAAACTGCTTAAAAAGATAGATATTGTCTATAGAAACCTAAGTACTGCTACCAATAGACTACAAATAGGTTGCAGAATACCAATACTACTTGTAGAAGACTAAATACTACCAGCAAAAGGCTAAACACTCCTTGCGGAAGACAAATGCTACCTATACAATACTAGAAACTGTTTGCAGAAGATAGATATTGTTTATGAAAGGCTAGGTACTGCTACCAATAGCCAAGGAATTGGTTCCAGAATACTAATACTGCTTGTAGAAAATTAAATATTGCTGGCAGAAAGCTAAATACTGCCAGACAATTTTACAAGCTCATTTATGGCGGTAGTTTTTCAGTTTCTGTTGATGTAATTTTTTGATTTTGAGTCCCATAAACATGGGTACATTCTATATAGGTTTATAAATTTTTTCCAAAAATCTTTTTCGGCGAACGATGCCATTTCAATGGACGTTGGAAATAAACTAAAGCGATACTTTCGGTGTCGTATGCACGTCGCAATCCCATACACGTTGATTCTTGCAAGGCGCCGGAGCCTGCCACGGTCTTGAATCCGTCGCCGTCGCCGCTGCCGATGCCGTCGCATGAGTCCTGGCGCTTCCCTACACACGATGCTTCATGCGGCTCGACTCTTGGCGTCGCTGCATGCGACGCTGCAAGATTCGTCGTGTATGGGCCGCTTAAGATACTACAGAGGCATAGGGAATTAGGTAACCTTATGTTCTATAGACCTTGACTAGTACCATCTTTTCCGATTGGAGAGAACTCTCTTCTTCCCACAGGGCTTATGTTTCTTTTTAATTTATAATTCACTTAAATCACTAAAAAAGTTAGAGAGACATGACTTTGAAAAAGTGATAACGGCAATTATTTGACATATTTTGGTCAAATTCGCGATGAAATCCACACAGCCGTTTTCGACATAACGGCGTAGGACATAAACCGTTTTAGATTTGTTGTGCGGAGTTCAACGAGAAATATTATTTTGCATTTGGCAAGATGAAACAAACGTGCATAAAAACTAACACAGTATTAAGTTTTTTGATGCAAAAAAACCCCTTTTTGGAATATGATATAATACCTTCTTCCTTCTTCGGAGAGTGAATTTGATGATAAAGATTTAAATAGAGATAAATTGGCACCTCAAGACAAATTCATGTCTCAAGAACCTTTTCTTGGTTCGACTGATGTACAACAAATATCCAGTAATCCAAAGTGTATCTGAATGCGTTGGATTATTTATAAAAGACGATTTGTTTGCAATGATGGCAGAGCAAAGCAATTTGTATTATGCATAAACCAAACACAAATACCAAGGTTCGTCAAAATGTATGGGAATTATACTTTTAATACTGTGAAAAATACTTCGAAAGATTATTGGTCAAACAATTCTTTGGAAGAAATGCCTATTTTATCAAAAGTAATGAGTAGAGATCGATTTCTGCAAATCTTACAGTTTTGGCATTTTAATGATAAATCATTTTTAAATGAAAACTCCACCGGACTTTATAAAATAGAACCAAAAAATTATTTCCTTGAAAAATTTAAAACCGTTTATAAACTAAATCAACAGATTTGTTCAACGAGGTGTAATCCCATGGAGAATCTCATAGAACTTATAAGCTTGTGAGAGTCAAACTGTTTATACTATAATTAATTTTCGAATTTACTCAGCTGAAGGGAATACCTTCGAGAATACCATATTTTTTTTATTAGATCCTTGTTTAGATGTTTTGCATCATTTGTACTGAGATAACTTTTAGAATAGCGTACATATAGCAGAACGCCTTCTTATAAAGAGAGTTTGTGGAACTATTCGTCAAAATCGAGGCCTTTCTTTAGAATTGTGAGTTAAATCAAAATATTAAAAAAAAAAACGTGTGAAACTATATACCGGCGAATAGGTGATATCTTACTACAAATATGGAAAGATAAGAGGGAAGTTCGTATGATATCCTCAATTCATGATCCAGCATGATAGTCGTTGATAAAAAGACAACGGCTAACGCCAACTTGTAAGAAATTAAACAGAAACACGTATAAATTACAGTACTTTTATAGAAGAAGTAGCAAGGATCTTGATTTTCCATCAGCAAATAAATGATTCTGATTCCAAGGAAACTGGTACTAATAGTCAACCAACAAGAAGAACTCCAAGAGTGGATCCAAAAGGTAGATTGCCAGGGAACATGAGGCAGCACACTCTTAGTCAAGTTGTTGGAACAGAGAAGAAAAAATATTCCAAAAGTATGCAGCTCGAAAGGAAAAATGAGCGAAACTAGATATGTTTGTCATTTTTGTCAGGTTCTACCTCATAAAGGTGAATGTTTTACAGCACATCATACGATTAAAAAACACTAAACGTTTTAATAAATACCATTATAAAATATTATAAGAAATATAATTGACTTAATAAAACTACAACGCTTGAAATCGCGAACCCCAGAAACTAGGAAAGACAGAGCAGATTCGACCCGTTCGTTAAGTGTTAAAAACTTATTTATCTCAAATAATGAGAAATGACTCGGCGAGAACATCACGGAAGTTTTTATATAGTGCCATTACGAATCATAGCTGTATATGAAGATAAACAGGAATCTGGAAAAATAAATCTACTTTGTCAATAAAATAGGTACTATCGACCAGTGAAATAGTATATTAAAAAACAAGTTTCGTAAGACACGTTTGAAATGCACGAATTTAATGAATGAGTGCTTTAAGTCTTATGAAACGTGTTTTTTATACTATTTTTTGTAATTCGCGTTTTTATCCTTTTTTTTCTCAAGAATAAAATAAATTTTGACAATGTAGGGAAATAGATATGTAGCAGTTGGTAACAACGTAACACTTGAAAATAGAAATTTGAATTGACAATTAGAAACTGTCAAAACACAAAATGTATTCACCTGAAAAAAATGTTCAATGTCCTCATCATTGTGGACCTTGTATTCGATGCTAAAAACGTGTTTAAACATCCATAGACAAAAATTGTCACATTGACAACTAGAAAAATTAATGACCCAATGTCACCAACTTGAAATGGTTCCATAAAATGTTACTAAAATCTCATTACAGCATCGGATGCCGTAAAGAGTGTCATTACAGCCCCCGTTTGAGTACTGTAATAGCTTTCATTACCGTCGCGAATTACAAAAACAACTTTACATAACCCCATGTAAAGTCAGCGAAGTGAAAAATCATGATAGAAATGCCATTTGCAAGAAAAATATAATAAAATCAAATGATATGGGTATTTAAACATGTTTGAAGAAAAAAATATGTTTTACACAAAGTTTACTAAATTACTAGATTAAATATTTTTACTTACTTTTGGACCTGGTGATAACCCGCATTCTAAAGCTTCGCTAGCTTTTCGTTTTAAAATGCTCCTATTTGGCGTTGCAAACGGGCTAGGAATATTTCTTCGAAATTCCAAAACGTGAACAATTTCGTACTTCTCTTCATTTTTAACTTTATCTTTCTCGCCCTCCAAATTCTTATTTCCATTACAATTCAACATCATTCTTCGCACTCTTTCTGTAGAAGTAGGTGATCCGCTTACATTTGCACTTTGTTTTCGAACAACCGTTACTGATTTCGGAGATTTTCTCAAATTCACAACACTCTGGTGAGGCAACAAATTCATCAACTTTGCGGATCTCGCACTTGGCGCTTTCATAAAATTATTTGCAACTTCCGATTTGAAGTGGGCAATATCGCTGGGTAACTCAAATTTAAAATCAGAATCAGAATGGACTTTACAATTTTCAGGATTATCTAAATTGCTATTAACTTTATTACTAATTTCTGATTCAACTTTATTTCCAGTTTCGTTATTTTCTTTCAAACCTTCGTCGTCAAGTCTTATTGGAGAAATATCGATGGTGTTATTCAAAAGTTCCGAATTTCTATTTTCAAGGATGGGAGAAGCCGGCAAGTTTTGTTCATCATTTTTATTTAAACCCGTTGGAAAATCATCTAAGGTTATATTTCCTAAAGGATTCGGTGTTGTTTTTATAAGTTCGATTTTTGTGGGTTCTACCGGTAGTGACACTTCTTGAATACTAACAGAAATCGATTCATTTGGATCACATGATAAAGTGTCATTAAGATTATTTGATTCCATAGATTCCAAATTTTTTGAAATCGGTACATTTAGATCCGCGGGTGGAGTATTATTTAGTATTTGTTTCAAAATATTTGAAATACTTGCTATTAATGGCGATTTTAAAGATTCATTTGAAGGTATTTTCTTAGATTCTATTATATTTTGCTTATTATATTTGCTTGGAGATAATTTATCAATATTAATAGAATTATTTTGATCAAATAAATTTGATTCATTACATTTTTGTAATGCAATAGTTGATACAGAAGGTGTTGTTGATTTCTCTTCATTTCTAACATCGTTATTAATGGAATCTTTGTCTTTATCGACTTTGTTTGTGTTCATAATCGTTGCATTTAGTGATTGATTAGTATTTTGTTCCATTTTGTTTTTGATGCTTTTTGGGGATAACTTCGTTGATTTTAAAGATAATTCTTGCTTCGATATTTTTGTATTTGGAGCTACAAAATCAATACTAATGGAAAGCTCTGGAGAATCAGGGAAATCAATTAGTAAAGTATTTTGCGACGATTCGTTTGCAAGTTGATCTAGAGGGGTTTGTATTTGTAATTTATCAGTATTAATTAAATTATTAGTATCACAACATGCAGTAGCATTTTTATCTTTACTTGGGTTATGTAGCAAAGATAAAAATGTTATGTATGCTGGACTATTAGATTCATTTTTAATCACACTACTGTTGGTTAATTTTATACCTGATTTACTGAAGGGAAACATCGATGCATTTTGAGGTTGACTATTTTCAATGATATCCTCATCAATTTTTGCCATTTCATCTTTTTCATTTTCATTACTTTTATTAGTACTTTGTATTAATAAACATTCGCTAAGTACGACGTCCGTTTCATTTTCTTTTTTGTCATTTCCATCAACATGATTTAAATCACTTGTATTACTTTTCCTATGCTTTTTATCGTTATTATTCATATTTGTATCGGAATGTCTTCTTTTTTTAACACCAATAAGATGTTTAAATGGATCGCTACTTCTCATGTTGCTATTTCTTTTTCGTGTAACTCCCACAAAACTATTCGCCCCTACTATATTCATTTGCAATCGAGATATTTCTCTTTTCGCCTTCTGACTTATTTTGTCATTACTTTCTTGAGAATTATTTTTAAAACTTGTGTTAACATCATCGTTGTGTTCGTCAATTACAATGTTCGATTGATTCTCATCGGTATTTTTGTTATCGTCTTTTATTTCATTTTCATCTTGAGTTTGTAGGTTTTCTTTTAATTTATTATTTTCCTCCGCAACAGTATTCATTTTCAATTCATCAATTAGTTCTTTTGTATCAACGATGTTTTCGCTGTTATTTTCATCGTTAATTGGAGTTATGTGTTGAATATTTCTTTTAAGTTGCTTTTTTGGAGTATTTCGTTTCCTTCTTAATCTTTGCTCGGAAGAATCCAATTGACCCAATTTTTCCGTGTCCATATTTAACAAGTTCACGCTGGCGTGCATCAATGGTGGATCACGCTTCACTATTTGATCGCGTTTTATGAATCGGCCCTTTCGTGAACGTGATTGATTCATTACCATTTCCCTTCTCGTTATTCGATTTTGTTCATTAGCTTTATTATCTTTAAACTGATTATTTTTTAGGGTGATAAGATCTATACTACAAGCAGTTTCATCTAAATTTGAACCTTCTTCTTCATTAACATTTACGGAGTCTCTTTTCTCCCTCTTCTTTACTTTACCATTACTTTCTTGCGAATTACGTTCAAAACTTGTGTTAACATCTTGGTTGTGTTCTTCGTCAATTACAACATTCGATTGATTCAATAACGATGTATTTGAACTTGTTTCATTCATGTCATCAACATTTTTGGTGTCTTCTATTTCATTTTCGTCTTGTGTTTGTGAATTTTCTTTTAATTCCTTATTTTCCTCGACAACAGTATTCATTTTCAACTCATCAATGAGTTCTTTTGTATCGACGATATTTTCGCTGTTATTTTCATCATTAATTGGAGTTATTTGTTGAATATTTTCTTTATAAATTTTATGTTTTTCTTTCAATTTATTAGGTTTATCGCTTTTAAGTTCCTTTTTTGGAGTATTTCGTTTCCTTCTTAATCTTTGCATAGAAGGATCCAATTGACCCAATTTTTCCATCCCAACAATGTCCATCTTTAATTGATTCATTACCCTTTTCGTTTTTCGATTTTCTTCGTTAACTTTACTATCTTTTAACTGATTATTTATTTGGGCGATTAGATCTATACTACAAGTAGTTTCATCTAAATTTGAACCTTTTTCTTCACTAACATTTACAGAGTCTCTTTTCTCCCTCTTCTTTACTTTATCATTACTTTCTTGTGAATTATGTTCAAAACTTGCGTTAACATCTTCGTTGTGTCCTTCGTTAATTACAACATTCGATTGATTCAATAACGATGTATTTGAACTTGTTTCATTCATGTCATCAACATTTTTGTTATCTTCTATTACATTTTCGTTTTGTGTTTGTGGATTATCTTTTAATTCCTTATTTTCCTCGTTCATTTTCAACTCATCAATCAGTTCTTTTGTATCAACGATATTTTCGCTGTTATTTTCATCATTTATTGGAGTTATTTGTTGAATATTGTCTTTATAAATTTCATGTTTTTCTTTCAATTTATTAGGTGTATCTCTTTTAAGTTCCTTTCTTGGAGAATTTCGTTTCCTTCTTAATCTTTGCTTAGAAGGATTCAATTTTTCAGTCCCAACAATATCCATTTTTAATTGATTCATTGCCCTTTTCCTTTTCTTTTTTCGATTTTCTTCATTATCTTTAAGCTGACTATTTATTTGGGTGATAAGATCTACACTACAAGCAGTTTCATCTAAATTTGAACCATTTTCTTCATTAATATTTACAGAGTCTCTTTTAATTGGAGTTATTTTCTTTTTATACATTTTATGTTTTTCTTTCAATTTATTAGATTTATCTCTATTAAGTATCTTTTTTGGAGTACTTCGTTTCCTTCTTAATCTTTGCTCAGAAGGATCTAATTGAGCCAATTTTTCTGGCTCCACAACATCCATGTTTAATTGATTCGTTTTTTCATTTTCTTCATCAACTTTATTATCTTTAAACTGATTATTAATTTGGGCGATAAGATCTATACTACAAACAGTTTCATCTAAATTTAAACTTTTTTCTTCATTTACATTTACGGAGTTATTTTGATCAATTTCGTTTTTATGTTGTGTTTTAGTTATGTTGGATTCATTAGATTTGCTCGAAGAACTTCTAGTTTTAATAGTTGATAGAACAAAACTAAAAGATTTTCTGTTACTTTTTCTTATTTCATTTTTATCTGAATCAATTTGTTTTTCTTTAATAACTTGTTCTTTTTTATTCTTTATAACTTTACAAACACTTCGTCGATATCCACGCTTTTTGCGTTTTACTCTTTCATCACCTTTAATTTTCTGAATGCTTTTATTCTGTATAATAAGCTTATCTTCATTACCTTCACTTTCGTCAACACTATTTTCATCAATATATAAATTTGAAAGATCTGTTGTAGAAGAAAAGCTTTCAGATTCACTTGGCTTAGCTTCATAATTTATTTCACTATGTCCAAGACTATCAAAACTGCATTTAGGTGATACATCCACTTTTTTTTCGAAAATTTCGGGACTTAAAACAACATTACTTAAAATAATTACGTTTGATTGACTTTCAGATATTTTTTGGTCATTTCCATTTTTATTTTCAACATTTAAAGTATCGTTACTTCGACTAAGAGAATCATAACTATGCTGACTTTGACTCAAGTCTTGGTATAAAGCTGGAATATCTTCCTTTCGTCTTTTCAAAACTTCTTTTTGATGTGAAACCATTTTTGAATAATCAACTTTCACCTCACTATCAATATACACAAAATCTTGACTATTTGCGTCGTTGATACTGTTTGGTTTTGTAAATGTGGGCATAGCATTGGCTATTTTCAAACTTCGCCCACTTTTTGGTGTACCCATACTGTTAATAACGCTTCCTTTAACGGTTACAGGTGAGTTTTGAACAGTTTGTGCGAATAAATTTAATGGTTTATGATTTGCTGAAGCCAATGAAGCGATTTTTGCGGTTCGACTAGAAACTGATGGCGTTGTAAAGTTAGTTGTAGGTGTTGGTGAACGTTGTTTGTTAAGATCCGCCATTAATGCGATAGCATTTTGAGCAACTTCTGAATTGGAATGAGTTGTGAGATCATTTATAATTGTACATAACTTTAAGGGTATCCGCTTCTTTACACTTTGGGATAACTTTGGTAAGATTGGTTTAAATAATTTTAAAACATCGTAAATCTTAAACAAAAAAAATATATAAGTACGAAAGCTTTCACGGTGTTAATTGAACTAAAACTAGAACTAACTACTAGACCTAGAACTAGAAACATTCGGGTTTAGCTGTGCGTCTTTCAAGACGGCTAAACCCGAATGTTTCTAGTTCTAGATCTAGTGTTAGATCTACTTTTAGTTCAATAAAAATATACAACTTGACGCTGCGTAAGAACTGAAACTAGAACTAATACTAGCACTAGAACTAACACTAGACCTAGAACTAGAAATATTCGGGTTTAGCCCGGCGTCTTTTAAAGGGGGATTCCAGTCTAGAGGATGAACAAAAAAAATTTAAATTCAATATAGCGTAAAAAGTACATTCTTCTACGCAGCATACATGGAACGCTAAAGGTACAAGCGATTATCTTACTCGCTTTTATCCGAAACTTTAAAAAGGGAGGTTTAGTCCATTCTACTTTATTTTATACCATTTATCTTTGTTATATATTGTTGATTTCCATACAAAAATTTTTTGTCAAACTATATGTTATGGCTTGGCTATCCGAAGACATTCCGAGTCTGTGGAAAATATAAACAAAGAAATTTGGGAAGAGAACATACTATCATAACAGGCAAGAGAATATACCTTGAAAAACATAAGGATGCCCAGACACGCTCCGTGTTCACTACTGATAAAACAGGAAAACTGGAAAGAGGACAAAAACACCAACAGTAAAACAGCAAAATAAAAGTAGCAGTTATGACACAAGAGGAAGAAACCTTGATACAATAACGACTATAAAGACGTCGTGGATGAGAGAACACAGAAGATACATACAGAAACAAACAAGGAAGAGAAAGAAACAACTTGAGGAAGCAAAGCAGACAAAATCCGAAGAGATAAGAAGTCGAAACACCTGAATGATCAACTCATCGAAATAAAAGAGAACTTTATAGCAGCAAAACCCAAGGTAGAAAAAACGACATGTAACGACTGGAAAAGGAGAATCATATGTTCAATACACAAAAAGAATGCCAAATGATGTGTGAAAACTACAGAGGCATTGGATTGCTGCGCGCAGATTACAAGTATTCGTGAACTTCCACCAAACGTATGATTGCGTATGTAGGAAAACCTATATCTCATTCAAACAGAGCTCGGAGTACCAGACAAACGATAAAATTAACCAAAACCACCATGACGCACATGGACGTATACGAGCACCTCCAGAACTAGCTAACCAACCCCACAGAAACTGAATGGGGCCTGAAGCAGGGGGACAGACTAGACCCTACACTCATCAACATATTCCTGGAATATCTTATAAGAAAACTAAAAACTGTCAATCTCAGACAAACATTAATCAAGAAATCGTCCTAGTCACGCGTACTAGCATTATAACATATGTGCAGGCCACTGAAGACAGTCAAGGAAGTGTACACAAACCTCAAGAACATAGCAACTAAGATCTGGTACAAAAAAGGAAAAGAGTAAAACATCATATACAACGAAATATGTTGGACAGAGTAAATATGACATAAATTTAAGGTGAAGAGGTCGGAATAAGGAGAAGAGTCACCATGGCAAATAAACCAAAAATGAACCATTTATTTCGAACAAAAGAATTCTACCAAATACAAAAATACGTTTATACAAAACGGTAATCAGGCCAATCGTCCTGATCCTGAATATGAATAACATCGTGGATACCTTTGAAAGAAAAATTTTGAGAAGAAAACTAGGAGGGGTCAGAATTGACAGGGTATGAATGATGAGGTTTAGCCTGGAAATATACAGACCCCCACCATCTTATTACGCCAAGCTCCAACGATTGCGATGGGTAGTGCAAGTGGAGAGGGCCCCAAAAGAACTCAAGAAAGCAAGGAAACAGGAGAACGGGCAGACTAAAGAGATGGTGGGATGACGGAGGATGTCAGCGACCTGTTGAAGATGGGGGTGCAAAGATGAGCCACAAATGATAGGGAGGTGTAGAGAACAAGTTTGAAGAAGACCAAGACCCGAAGACGAACTGTAGCGCAATGAGAGAGGAAGAGATTATCATAAAAGTTCCACGGATAAATAACCACAACATCAAAACTACCCGGAAGACTGAGATAGTTGATGTAAGTGGCCAAAATCGTCGGACTCACAGAATAATAATGAGTTGTTAAATCCGCTTGAAGGTGCAACTTTTACCATAATAAATTTATACCAATTTTGAAGATTATGGATGAATCTGAAATGATTCATCTGAGGAATGATGTGGCGGTGTTAAAAATTGGCCAACAAGCGGAATTGCAAACGCACGATCACTCGTCTAATTTCGGAGAATACACAAATAACGCATCACAGAGACAAAAGGGCAAATTTCGGCCCAGCAATAGCAAATTCCACAACATAAAAGTTATAAAAACTTCAATCGCTTTTTACTTGAAACAACGTTTTGATAATTGCTATCCACGACGATACTTCAAAATCTATTGACTCAATTGTTCAAACTTTGTACATACACACATTGATCACATACATAGTTTTTGTCTGATCTAGAATTAAGTTAAAATATTTGTTTTTATTGGATCTACAGCACCCTTTAAGATGTAAAAAGTACGCAAATAAACCAAATGCAATCTTCAAATTAGCGCCATTTTGTTTCCTTTTTCACTTTTTTGGTAATTCTAGCCTGATATGTACCATGTATTTTAAGAATCTCATTAGATTATTAGCTTTAGATAAGCAGCAAGGCTGTAATCATGGTTACTTTGAAAAATGACGTGTTTCTGTCGTTTCTGCATTGTTGTTGTAAGAAATGTATATTGAACCATAATGAAATAAAAACACTCCTTATAGGTGCTCAATATGCGTACTAATATGTATGATATACTCTGGTATAAATAACTTAAACAGTTTTCCTTAATAAATTAATGAAGATTAGTGATCGAACGGATAGTGATTTTGCGAAAAGCTGGATATTCGGCATCCCTTTCAGCCAGATATCCGTTTATCCGGCCATTATGGTTATAATTTCTGGTGCATTTCTGAAGTGATGCCCTACATTGCCACATTATTGCGATATTTGACTAAAAATGAAATTAATAAGAAAGCTGATAAGATATGTCAACTTATTTGGATACAAGATACAAAATGAACTTTTTTAATGCTGATTTAACTAACGAAGCAACTCTAAAAAAAGGATACTTTAATTAATATAATAATGGTGATATGTCCACAAGGATCCTTCAAGAAATTAATTTTATAGCGAATTTTGAAAATTATCGATGAAAATTGCAATATCGAAAATTTTATCAAAACTTCAAACATTGTTTTCTCAAAAACTAAAAGTTATTTTTCAAATCGTGTTGGTTCATTGGAAAAAGGACAGTCTTATTAACGCTTTGGGATATTTTCATACTCATATTCCAAGAAATCGATTTTATACGAATTATTAAAATTTAATCGGCGAAAATTGCAAAAAATCGAAAAAATTGTCGATTATTTCAAAAATGTATTTCTCAAGAACTAAAAGTGATTTTTCAAAACGGCTTTTTGCATTAAAAAGAGGATACTTTAGTTAATAATCGGTGATGTTTCCACAAGGATCCTTTAAGAAATGAATTTTATAGCGAATTTTGAAAGTTATCGATGAAAATTGCAACATCGAAAATGTTATCAAAACTTCAAACATTGTTTTCTCAAAAACTAAAAGTTATTTTTCAAAACGGGTTGATTCATTGGGAAGAGGACACTTTTATTGACATTTTGGTAAATTTTCAAACTGATATACCAAGAAATGGATTTTATACGAATTTTTAAAATTTAATCGACGAAGATTTTAAAAAATGGTCGGATAGGCCGGATACAGGATAGTTGCCGGATATCCGTTCCACCACTAATGAAGATACCTAATAAATAGGGGTTCTAGATCGGAATCCCCCTTAAAGCTGCTAAAACCGAATGTTTGTAGTTCTAGATCTAGTGGTAGCTTTAGTTCAAAACAAATATTTTATTGGAGATAAATTTAAAACATTAAAATACTTACTTGATGAGGTTTTAGAAAATACTCCAAGCATTCATACAGCTTTAAACTTAATGATTCATATTGGTTTTGATCACTTTCTTTGAAAATTCTTTCAGAGATCTTTGAAATTATAGGCAAAGCAAGAGGAACCATATCTTTATTTAAACAAGGTATTGTTAATATTTCCAGGACAACATCCAAAACTTTGGTTACTAAAAAAATATTGAAAAATCTTTCACAAATTTTTAACATATAAAATTACAAAACTTACCATAATTAATACTACTTTTTTCATTAATTTTTTCTATGCTGAAAGGAATAAATCCAAGAATATTAGAAGCAAAGCTCGGATTATCTTTAAGAATTTTTTGAAAATGTCTCAATATTACAGTATTAAAATCCTCGCATATCACATCAATTTCAGTCATAATGGACATCCATTTGTCACAAATTATCTTAAAAAACAACATTACTAATGATGATTTGTAATTTATTTATATTTACTTTTTGTAAATTCTTCGGTATTTGACACTCGCAAATCCAACACATTAAAAAGTTCAAGCTGTTTTTGAAAGCCTCAAATTGATTGTCTTTCGGCGATCGGCAAACATTTAACATTTCGTTTGCAAGTTCCAGCCAAATATAAGCGGATAAAACTTGCGTTCCATTTTGGAGATAAGATCTTAATAATTCGCACGACCTATTGAGGTGTTCCAATACACTCCCTGTTTTTAAACCACGCAGAAGATTAACGAAAGAAAGAGCTCTAAAACAAATTTTAATAAACATTAAGATTTGCATAAAATTTTAATATTTACATATATTCTGGAATATCTGGAGTATTTAACATAAGCTGTGCCATTGGAAACACAATAATTTCATTTAGCAATAAATAATCAAAACTCTCGGAATCTAAATTAGATAAAATATTAAATATTGGTTGGAGAATATCGTCGAAATATTCTTGATTTTCTTTATTTTTCTACAATTAAAAATTGTATAGTAAAAATTTTATATTAACGAAAATAAAAATGAAATATTACTTTCCAAAAAGTGGTCATGACAACAAATAAATCCCTTAAAATTAATTCTTTATCCAAACTATGTAAAGCACTAATTATTCTTAAAGTAGATATCCACATACACCGTATTTTCTATAACATAACAACATAAACAAAATAAATAATTAAAAGATTTCATTAAAATTCACCTTTTCCCTTCCAGTCTTAACTTCCCAAATTAATATATGTTCACTGCAAATTGTTAATGCATTTAAAACAGCCTTTTTGTACCTAAGAATATTGAGCCCATCGATTAATGGTTTCTTTAGCATAAAAGTTCTGGGTGAAATACAACAGTCGCCCGTCTCGCAATGACCTAAAATGTATTTAAAATCAAATATTAACATTAAAAATATTAACCGTTTTGAGTCCAAATAACAAACGGTTAATAGCAAAGTTAACTGTAATAGGTACCGATAATATTCATAAAAACTTCCGTTCTCTGTAGCCAAACATCCTTGACAATCGATGTTTCCGATTCAAAGCAAAAAACCATAAACTCCTCTAAACATTGTAATGAATTTTCTTGTAAAGCTGTTAAGAGGTATAACCACACTTCAAGCCTTTTATGCGTTACTAAATCGTTGCGGGATAGTTTTACTTTTAATGGTTTTATTAAGAGTCTTAATTGTTTACTGCTACACAAATAATTGCGGTCTAAACTTGCAACTTCAATTAATACCTTAAAAAATATGAATATGATAAATATGGATTGATACAACTATTTCAATATAATTAGTTTATAACTAATGTTATGGTTTCAAATAACTTTTTCTAAATAAATTAACACGTGTTCTATAGGGTTCATATCTGGTGATTGTGTTATCTGGGGTTTATTAAATATCTGGTGATTGTGTTGAAGAATACAGTTTGGGTAAAATATACAAAATCCATTGGAGAACTTACGCTGTACAATGCGCCATGGTTTTGTTGGAACATTTAATTGTTTACATGATCAAATTGTACAGCAATTTTTTCAATATAATTCTGATAAAAAATAAGCTGCAAACTAAATACGTAGTCATAGATCCCCACACCATAACAGATCCGTTTCTTAAATCTATTTAATATGGAGGTCGATTATTGATAATGAGTCTCAGAGGCGGGGTAGTTAAAATCAAAACTGAGAAATGCTCATAAGACTGAATTAGTGAGACTCACTAATCACGTCCTTGATGCGTGACCTCTGGCACGTGGCACGCATGGTGTATAATAATTGTACGGCATATTGTAAACGAGAGACGTGAAAACCGAATTTCCGATGCTTTTGAGTAGTCAGCAAAGATCCGCTAAAGAATGGAAAGGATCAGATCAATCAAAAAATCTAAGTTCACCCTGTCTCAAAATGTCAACATCGAAGGGGCGCCCGCGAGGTGGGCTTTATGGTATCTCTTATAGAATATGCACCTTGAGGAAGACACGGTGGAAGAATTTTAGAAAAACTCCAATCTGTATGCGATGATTTACCAAAACAAGATGCCATAATCACAGTACAGACTTTAATACAAAACTTGGAAAAGAGCCAATATCCAGAGATATCGTTGGGAAACACAAACAACAACGTGCATCGTTGTTGACACCAGGATCAGGTGAAATAACGATGAAATAAAGGATTCACAATGTAATTAAGAATATCTGGATACACCAAAAGATGCCGGACGAATGGTCTAAGGGAGTCATACAACGAATACATAAAAAAGAGGACAAACTGGAATACTCTAACTATAGACCCATAGCGTTACTTAACGTTATTTATAAAATTCTATCAGGCATGATACACAATAAGCTAACTAATTACACAAAAGAAATATTTGGTAAATAGCAATGTGGGTTTCGCCCAAATCGCTCGACAACAAATCATGTATTCATCATTAGATAAATACAGGAAAAAACGTATGAATATAATATCAGTCTACATACTTTATACTGTGTCCAAAGCAGTAGTGAGAGTAGATAACCAACATACAGCGACACTCCATATCATCACTGATTACAGACAAAGAGATGCGCTATCTGCCATATTGTTCGATCTGGTACTAGAAGCATCAAACAGAAAGACCACCAAACTAAGTTACATAGCTCTAAAAGTACCCAAATACTCGCCAATGTAGACGATGTGGCAAAAAAAGCCCTATCATTGAAAGTGAACCAAAGAATTTAGGGGTTTATTAATCATTGAACATAAAACAAAATACAGGCAGATGGACAGAAAATCAGTCATCAAAGACAACAAAACCTACACTTCGAGCTAGTAGAAGAATTCTCATACCTAGGCTCTAAAATAAACCAATTTAACCATCAGCAACGTATAAGCGAGAATTGTGGAGGAAATCGATGCTTTCAGGCGTACAGACAACTGGAGAATAAGAATGAATCAGGAACTAAATAGTTTAAGAGAAGACTCAATTAGTCTTAGTTTTCTTTCTTTTTAATTCCCTTTTGCACCGTTATTATTAATTTGTCATTATTATTGTAAACTAATTAACTTGTAAACAACTGGTCGTTTGTGGTACAGTATTATTGGGTTCGACCTGTTTCTGCACCCACTTGAAAAAAAAGTAAAATAAAAAAGACCCTGATATCGTCAAATTCATAAAAAGTTGTAGAATAGAGTGGCTAGGGCATGTAATGCGTATATGCTAGTTATTATAACCGAATTATAAAAGGGGTACTTTACTGGAAACCAACAGGTAGGAGAATGAAGGGCAGACCAAGAAAGAGGTGGTTGGAAGATATTGGGGAGAATCTGAAAACAATGAAAGTAAGACGACTATTTTTCGTTAAAGAGGTTCTTTAAATGTTACACTTTTTAGCTCTGCCATTGACTGCGAGGTATCATTGGATTCATATTTATTAGCTCTATTAGAAAATGTTACAATGTTCTAAATACAAAAGTAAGACAAAGACTGGGAATTAATAGCGATCACTATCTACTATTACAAAGATTAAAAAGAAGTTAGAAAAGGAAACTATTTGATGTATAAATACAATTATGCAATTTTAAATAATTTATGATGAGGTGCTGCAGTTACTGGGTTAATTATTTTAGCCACACAAAAAATTCACTAAAGCATGGGTAATCCCCGTCAGTTTTTAGCTTTACCAATCATGTACAATAACTTTTATTACTGACTATAGATAACATGGGTTTTCAATAGGAACATAACAATTTTTTATTTTAATAGGAACGCACGAGTGAATGTTTTTCATGATTTGGTAACATTAAAACGTCAGCAAAAATTTTTAACATGGTGATATTTACGAAAAATTGAGAATCTCTTAAACGTATCTTATTACGAATTTTGCGTATAGATCTTGATCTCCAGATCATTTGAAGAGCCGAAACTGCTCATGCTAACAGTAGAGAACGAGAGCGATCTACAACGCATGTACAGATTTATTTTTCAAGACATTTGAAAAATTTAATACGAAAATAACGTGCCAGAAAAGGCCAAATCGATGGTAATTGCTTAATTGTATGTATTATACAACAAGAAATCACGTTTAAGCTATCTTTTGGATTAAAAAAAAAGGTTTTTTTTTTTGTTTTAAGTATATTTTAGATGGTCTAGAATCTAGAGTGAGAATCCTATGACTGAAAAAATTTGCGGTTGTCTGTGTGAAAATTTAATTTTTGTAACGCACCTACTAGTCGAAAATTCCAAGTTACCTGTAACCTGCTACCTGTTTCCGTTTAAGTCGATTATACATCTAGGTATTTCGACCTTGTTGTTAAAAAAGGTTATATAATAATAGTAATAAAAGTTGCAACTTTCTGTTACGGTCTATGGTACCAAAAACGGTTCATAGTGGTTAGAAAGCAAGAAAGTGGTTAGCATTTCGTCCGATATTGCTGCTTATAATTTTAGTGAATGCCTTACAAGCATTATGGATACAATGCAAGTACTAAAATTAACAATTGGCAGATCGTGCTTTGGGTTTTGCCATGAAGCGGACTCACGTTGCATTGCCCACGCTGACCGCTCCATGACCGATGAAGCTAAAGAAGCTTGTAGAAGCTTATTGTCAGACAGATCAGCTGCAGAAGAAGAAAATAACCTTTAGGAACGATAAATGTACGGTGCAGGAATTGCTGATTAGGGATTTCAAAAGAAAATGTATAATTTTTCATATTGATAAACGTCTTTTTCTGAAAACTATATTTTTACAATCTGTGTGCATAACTCCCACGTGTTTCAACGGATTTTCAAAACTAGCCGTTTTTTGATGTATCTAAAGTTGTCTGTTTTACAACCATTTTTATGTATCCTTTTTATCAATAAATATAACATTTCTTGTAAAATCGGCACTATTTCATCAAAATAGATATTTTTTTAAAATCGGGACTAGAGCTGAAACAGCCCACAAAAGCCATAATAACGATTACAGAAATGAGAACTTTACAAAGTATAAAAGGCATTACAATCCGAGAGAGAGTACAAAATGTAAACATTATCAGAGATCTGGAAGTACAAGACAAACTTGCTGGACATCCTTATTACAAGAATGAACGAGGTAGAACAGACAGAACTAGGAATGTAAAATGTCTACTCCATCTGAAATACATCTTACAAAGGAAGTAACACAACTGTGGCACGCCGATTTTGATGAAATTTGGTACAGCCATAGAATGGACCAATACCTGACAGTTTTACCACATCATTCTTACGAAAAGTAGTTACATGTTAACCCTCGTAACATCGCTGGGGTTGATCTACGACGAATGAGAAAAAACACTTAACTAATATTTTTGAATGCACTACAAGTATATTTAACGCCATCAGAATCGATACAGTGGTTTTTAAATAAACCCCGAGAAAATAAGGGTAGTTCGCCCTTTTTCACCCTATGGTATATGTATGATACATCAAATGAAAGCTTATTAAAAATGAATATCAGTTTCAATTTACCACCTTTGATAGCACTTTTTGTTTTCGAAATATAAGCGAAAATGTACTTTTTCCACAAACTTTCAACCCCTAAAACTCGGCTCAGGGCCTTTTACTGCATGTATCAAAAAATATGTAAGCTTTATTTTGGTCCATTCTATGGCTGTAACAAATTTCATCAAAATCGGCGTGCCTCAGTTGTGGTACTTCCCTTGTTAGTTCAATATCTCAATTATTTTTTTATGAACCTTTTATGAATACAAATCAAAAATTTGTTTAATTCCTGCAAAATATCTTTTTTTTTAGGGATGATAGCGAGAAAGATGAAACAAGGCTAGAAATAAAATTATTAACCATCAGATCAGAAAGAAATGCAACTGTATTACATACATTTTCGTAGGTTTAGGGAGCTAATTATAAAAAACGGCGAAAGTGTAAACAAAACTTGATTATTTGAAGGATTACCAAGCACAAGCACTTCAATATCTAAAACATATTACTATGTATTGCTTTAGAATGTGAGTGTACAAAAACGTATTTTAATAAATATTTTTATATTAATAATAATTTGGAATTGGTCTTAGACATAATAATATGTAACATATAAATGAAACAAGAGAATGGGATTTATGTTAACGCATTTACAAACAGGATTTAAACAAAAAGGAAACAATAATTTCTATATAATGGACTTTTATATCAAAGGTTAGCTGTATTTTCGTATTCAGCAGACCAAAATTACCTAAAATTTAGTAATAATTCCGACGCCATAGAATCAGTGTTGCCCTATGTTATTAATGACTGTATGTTACTTATTCTGAGACACTTGCATCTATTTCAATATTAAAATTATTTGTCATTAAACACTATAAACAGTATGTAAGCAACTATTATTGAGGGTATTGACCTAAAAGTGTGTTACACTTTGTACAATTTAATGTTCCAGCATATTGTTGAAGTAAGCATTATTTTATATAAAAGTGTTTTTTGTTATGTAACTATAGACAAATATTACTATTTTTTTTCTTGATGAACACATAACTATTTTTTTTATTATTATTATATTTTTTCAAACCTCTTTTCCAGTTTATAGTGAATATCAATTTTTTTGTTTGTTTTTTTTACCTTTTTTGACACCTTTATAAACAAAGAGAAAATAAAATATTTTATTCTTACCTTCCAACATTCAAAAGATAAAATTTTATCTTCAACAATTTTGCTTTTGAATCCATATTCAATATTACTCAACAGAGCATTTAACAACCCAATTTCGTTATGCATTAATTTCCCAAAATATTTCAATGTGAACATGCAAAGATCATACCATATCCTATTGTTTGATTTTCTTAGATCTTCAATAATCATTATATAGATATTTTTGAAATTGTCAAGAACATGATTTCTTATTTGTTCATCACAGGCCTCTAAGCCAAACTCAACTGATTTTATAACCCTTAAAACGAATAAACGCAGAAGAGCATGAGTTGAGTCATCCTTTGTGTCAAATATGCTCCTTATGGTAATTATATGAATAAAATTTAAGTAGGGTTTTAATGGAATCGATGGTGATATTTGAATAAGAGTTTCAATAATCTAAAATTTAAAAAAATTAACAAAAATTATTAAAAAAATTAAATTTTTACCTTGCGACATAACTGGTCGTTGTTAATTTGTGTAAAACATTCTCCCAAATTCAAGGTCTGATAAACAATTAAAGAACCTACAATCTCTTTAACAATACTTTCATTCCAAACACCATTACAAATTTCTTGTATTAATTCAACACATAACCACTTCGAATTTTTTGAGAATTTCACCCATCTTCTTAATAACTCTTCTTTATCATCGTCGTTTCCATCACTTAGTACTTTTTTAAAGAATTGCATCAAACTCTCCAAGTTCTTGGAGGTTAAAGTTGTCCGTTTCAGGATATTTTCGATCCCTTCGTACACCGCGACTTTGTTTGTTTGGGTCCCATTCAGTAAAACACTTACATCAGCCTTTGAAGATAACATGGCTCACATAATAATGTTTTTAGAAGACCCGGAACTACCCTTTTTATCTTTTTGTTGTTGTTAAAAAGTTAAAAAAAACAACCTTGTATCTGAGTTGTGTCAAAAAAAGTTACTCTAAATGTAACGCCACCACGCGGGAAAACATTACACGTTAAGTGCATGCGCAGCAATTAGATTGTTTAAAAATAATAATTAATTAGTAATATTTTATTTTTAAGAAGTTATTTTAATCGTAATTTAAATTAAAGAGGAAAAGTTGAAAAGTAAAGTAAGAAATATTAGAAAATAACTCAAACACGTTTAGTTTTATTTGTTTTAAGATTGGTGGACATGAAATTGGCGGAATTTAACTGTCAAATGTCAAAAGTTTTGTGATTGGTGTTGAAAGGTATAGTTTGAAATAATTAAAAATTGTGATACCTAATTAATTTAATAATGGAATCGGAAGCTTTTCAACAATGGGGAAAATTATTTACGAAGGAAGTTAGAGAGATTTGGTGTAAAGAACAAACAGAATTTAAAATTGCAACTATGTTGCTGTTCGTGTTAAAACGCGAATTTAATAGTAAATTTTTTAATTATTTATGCTTTTTATTTCATTAAAATCTTTTATATTTTTAGATCTTTTATGTAATCTCGATGATGAATATGGTGAAATAAAATTGAAATATAACAATGTTAAAGAAGAAAAGAATGCAACAGGTAAACTTAATTTTTAAATTTTTCTTTAAAGAGAATATATCTTTATTCGACTATAGACCTGTATTTGCAGATCTTTCTGCCGTAAAACATTGTAACAAATTATTTATAATATATAAGTATAATATATACATAAGACATTTTTCATATTATGTCATTAAGTTTTTCTAAGAGTCTTTTGTCTGAGATTTACATTGTTATTTCTAGATAAGCACATATAATTCAACAATTGTCTGTTCAACTTTTGTCATAGTAGTTTGTATCTTTCCTTTATTGGTGTGTGTAATTGCAAGTGTTAGCAACAAAGGTCTAACTATTGCTTTTGAAGATGTGTATGGCCATTTTAGTGGAAACTCCTTTATTCCTGTTAAGCCTTTAAAGTATTTTGCTCTCCCTATTGCTTTAAGTTGTTGGAGGACATAGTTTTTTGTCTAAAATTACACTTAGATATTTGATGTTTTCTAATGGTCTTAGTTTACCATGTTCTATTTGGATGTAAATAGAGTTCTCTTTGATGTGGTAAGGTAGTAAGAGCTGAAAATTGGAAGGGTTGGGTTGCAGTCTCCATTTGAATAACCAAGCAAAAAAAGTGTCTCATTGTAAAATGTTTGCATTTTTTTGTTGCTTCAATTAGGGTTTTTGCGTGGGTGACCAATGTCGTGTCGTCTGAACTGATTTGAATATGTATTGTAGGCTTTTACACGTAATTGTCGGTCATTTAAAAGTGGGTCGTGATTCTTATCACTTATGAGATATGGATTTACATTTAGAATGTTCATTTTCTAAATTATTCCCACACGTTGTCAAAAGCCTTGTTGATGTCCAAGGAAACTGTTGATGTTCGTTTATTTTGTAATACCCCGACTTACACTACCCCGTTTTACGTAAATTCGGAGTTACGCGATTTCAACTCGACTCCCCACGTCACCCACCACAACACAATGACATGGTGATCAGCTTTACAACAGGTTTGGACATGTTTGTTGCTCACGGTTGGCTCAAACAATGTTAAAAATATGTCGTGATAATCAAGTAAGAGTGAAAAATTGTCCTGTTCATCAGAACACGGTGTGGTCTTAAGCTAAGCTAATTTTTGAGAAATTAAAAGAAGAAGCTGGGGAGGCCGAAAAAAATGAAATGTTTAAAGCTAGTTTCAAAAGTCGTAATTGGCATAGCATCGCAGAAAGTGGAGAGGCGGCAAGCGCTGATAACGAGACTGCGTCTCTTTATCCAGAGATACTCAAGGCAATGATAGAAGAATGTCAAACTATATTCAACGTGGATGAAACTGGTCTATTTTGCAAAAAAATGCCTAAAAGAACTTTACTCGCGCGTGGTGAGAAAACTTTTCCAGGTTTTAAAGCCGCCAAAGATCGATTGACAGTGATGGTTGGCGCTGATAAATTAAAATTTCTTTCAGTTTATTGCTCACAAAAACCAAGAACTTTAAAAAATAAATCTAAAACTGGGTTGTCCATGATTTAGAAGTAGAATGCTAAACCTTGGGTGACAGCTTGTCTTTTTGAAGACTTGTTAGTCATCACTTCATACCTGAAGTCGAACGTTATTGCCAATTAAAACAATACCCACTTAAAGTGAAGAATACAACCTGCTTGCTTCAACCGATGGGCGAGGGAGTCATTAAAAATTTAAAGAAGGGAAACATTTAAAGCTTATTACACAAGACGATCATTTGCGCATCTACATGAAGCTATGAGACAAAAAAATGAGCTTTCTGTTGAAGACTTTTGGAAGCAACGCAATGTTTCAGATGCCGTTAGAATTATTGGACAATCTTGGAATGAAATTTCACTGAAACCCAGGAAGAATCAACGTCAGATCCTGATCAAATTGATAATGTGATTAAACAAATGGTCGATCTTGCCAGACAATTAAAGGTTAGAGGATTCACACAATCAGGAACTGATAATTGATTAGCTTGTAGAAATGCGTGATCAAGAAGAAGAGCAAGGCATTGAACAATCTAATTCTTTAGACCCGGTTCAATCAGAAGATCAAATGACGTTTGCAAACTTGACTCTATTTATCTCTTGTTTTGAAATTAACAAAACAAAATACATTATTTATGAATATTTTATTAATATAAAAAATTTAAAGTCTAACGCACGATACATGGTTATATTGCCATGTTACACTTCCAATACCGTTAAAATATTCACACAACAAGTCTCTGTTCTTCTGGAACCTTCTTGCCGCATTGTTGCTTCCAACCCGTCCTATATTTTGCAGTGGCATTGGTTCCGCTCGTCACTGACTATTTATAATTTCCTCTGCCTCTGACTAAATAGTATCACCATTTTCTGGAGGACAGTATCTTTCGCTTTGCCGATCCGAAGGAAGTTATATAAAACTATTGTGGTTTTTACAATATTTTCTACTATGTCTACCCTAGCTATGATTGGCCTGCGTAGAATTCGCTGGCAGAGTATACCAAAGGCATTTTCAACGGTAATTTTATCAAACCTTTGAGCGGGTGAAATTGCACCTTTATTTGGTGTTTTTGCTAAAAAAGGTTCAACCAATCTTAACAATTCCTTAAACTCTTCGAACGACATGCGAATATATTTAAAAAATTACAAATCGTCTTCCTCTTTTTCCAACATGTTTCTAATCAGAGTGGCATAATTTCCCTCCAATTCTCTATTTTTATTGATTGGTCTTTTACCAAAACGCCGTCGTCTTTTATTTCTTAATCTTTGTGCGATTAATAGAGCTGCATTCAAGCACATTACACTAGCAGCGACAACAATTTTCTTTTATTCATAGTGAACAAAACAGTTTCACGCCCGATTTCTTTTTTTTTTTTAATTTGCCACGAGTTGTGGCACGACTGTTTATATGCAAAATCTTCCTTTAATGTAACCAATCCCTTTCCTTATAACTACAGCTAAAGCAAACGCTTATGACTATGATTAAAACTAAAACAGTTTGCATGAACCCACCTATATACTTTGTTGTATGTATTATCTAACAGTTCATTAAACATTTTTCTTCTAAATTATTGTTTTCTTTAGTCTCTGGTCCCAATTGAACATTACTATGCAAAGTTGGACACCGACTTACGCGAATTCTACTTACACGGTTATTGCTTGGTCCCACATACCGCGTAAGTCTGGGGTATTACTGTATACTGTTTCAACGTTTGTGCGCTGTGCGATGTTTTTTCCTCTATGGATATGTAGTATGTAGTATTTGGCTTCGCTAATATCTGGAGTAGAATTACTGTGTATTGGTGCTGTTAAATACCCTGCGTACCAATTATCAATCAAATGCTGGTCGTCTTGTCTTGTTCTTTCGGTGTAATTACATATAGAAAATGTTCTGCCATAACGTCTGCATATCAACTACTTGTTGTACATTAGTGTTGGAATCGGCCTGGATCTCTTGTATTTGGTGATTTTCTTAATCTTGTTTCAGTATGAACACCCTTCGAGTTGTTTGATTTCTGAAGAAACTTGTAACCATTTTTTAGTGTAGCATGCTGTGCACACGGCATGTCAAATAAGAATTATTTTTGGTTATTTTGATTGTCAAAACTGACAATTTTGACAATCACCGTCAGAATTTACCGTAAATTGAGGTTGAGTTTTAGTCAAAATTTTGAATTTGAAGGTCTATACCGGACTTTACAACACCAGTTGATCATAACATTAAACACAGAATCGTTACCAACTCACACTTACCGTGTTGTCGTCCCCGATGTTTAGACGTGCACAAACACATCGCAAAAAGCAAAATTCGAACAGCTGGTAGCATTAGGAATCTGCCGACCCTCTTCTTCTTCTACAGCGCCACCTCTTCACATGGTTCCTAAGAAAGATTCCAACGATTGGAGACCATGTGAAGACTATCGACAACGCAACAATATCACCGTACCAGATCGTTATCCTCTCCCGCACATATCCTGTATGTGTTTAATCTACATTTAGGTAACATCGACATTTTTTCAAAATTAGATCTGGTACGAGCTTATCACCAAATTCCTGTAGAAGAAGACGGTATTCCTAAAACGACTATCTCTACACCGTTTGGTCTGTTCGAATTCACAAGAATGCCTTTCGGTTTATGTAATACTGCAGAAACCTTTCAAAGGTTTATAAACGAAGTTCTTTCTGGTTTAGATTTCCTTTTTGCATATCTAGATGATATTCTACTAGCCAGTCGCAATGATGAAGAACATTATCTTTATTTACAACAATTTTTCAGAGGTTAAGCTCTTGCAATATCAATATTCAACCAACAAAATGTGTTTTTGATGTTAGAACTTTAAATTTCCTAAGTCATCATATTTCAGAACATCATACAGAAGGCATTTCTCCTTCGCAATCTATGGTTAATGCCATAACTGAATTTCCAAAACCAACCACACTTAAACAAGATTCTTAGGAATGATAAATTTTTATCACTTTATATCACGTATCAAAAACACTTTATTCAGAAAAACTTAAATCAATCACTCTTTCTGGACACATCACCATGACATTTATTTCACTACAGCCAAAGAACTTTTATCAAAATCCGTCCGCGTCCCTTGGCTGGACATATGTGCTAACCGTAATAGATCGTTTCACGCGCTGGCCAGAAGCTTTTCCTCTCAAAGATATTAGTTCTACTTCTTTTTCGGATACCTTGTTTCGGCATTATTTCAGCCGTTTTGGCATTCCTAGCACTGTCAGCCATGATCAGGGATGATAATTCGAATCAAAACTCTTTTCAAAATTCCATAGTCGAAGTACAAAATAAACTGTAAACTTTTAGCTCAAATTTGAGAGCTCATAGCTCGAAAACAAAGGAGTTGCGACCCTATGTTTGTATAAAAAACTTGTGTTAATTTGGCAAGTACTACATCCTAGTAAAATTTCCAGATTAAAATCTGAACCAACCTGTATTACTAGAGAAACGTGTAAGAATTCGTTCTTGAAGGGAACTTTGAAACGGGGATATCATATACACCAGTGGTGTCCACTAATTTTTGATCAAGATCGACTTTTTATATAAATGTCTTGCCAAGATCGACCGAAGGGTTTAAAGTAACCTTCCTTTTTTTTTTTTGCTCTGAGGCCCAGATATTGATATTTCAGAGTCATGATTTTGTTGGCGATCGACGTTATGGACACCACTGATATACACTATCTATTTTGTGCCTATTCTTCTGTATTTCGTGCCAGTCCTGGTATTGTTTTTTTTTTGATAAGATTTTGTTTTGGTTTCCACAAATAGCCCCAAATCTATATCTTGTTGTTCGATATAACTGAAAATTAATGAGTCATATTTCTTGAGTTTGGTTCCTGCAGGTATCCTACAGCTATTAGTATATTTAACCTGGTTCGGTTATACCTATTGTCAAGTTCATCAGGATTTGTTGTATCCCTGATAGCCACATGCTTGGAGCTGTTGCTAAAGTTATGGTTTGATTTAGGCAGTCCAACATGACGACGCGACGTATACTCTGTTGCCAAACGTGTCAATTTGGTATTGTTCTATAAATCTATTTCTGAGCTTTTGTATTAGTTATTGACGATTTACGTTTTTGGCTTTATTTGATTAATTAATGCGTAAACGTGTCGATTATGTAGTCATGAATGGTCACACGTTTATGAATTCTTGAGTTTTTGATGATGCTTTTGTCTATTTCTTCTGTTTTTTTTATTTGCCGATTTAATTGGTATCGTGGGTAGATCTTTGATGAGGTCCAATGGACGTTTTTTATATTTGAAAGACCAGGATTGGTGGCCAGGTTCTCCACATGCTGTGCAGGGTTCTGATAGAGACGTTTTATATTTTGAGGTTTGGTGATGTTGTGATCTTCGCTTATATGTGTAAACTCTAATCATTTACTACAAGGTATAGGAGCTGGTGGCTTTCAATAACAAAATAGTAGTTGTGTAGGTAATATAGGCCGTCATTGATTAATTTTTGATATGAATCAACGTCGCTGGTTATGATTCTTATCTTGCCTATTGGTTTATTTGTTACCTTTGAAATAATTCGTTTGCAATATCGATGGGCGATATTTCCTTCTTTAGAAATGTACTAATCTCTAATTGCAGATTAGTAAGAGATGCCTGAAACTTTTGTGTGTTTTTGGAGATTTGGTCTAGATTCTGTGTAGTTTTGGATGGCTCCATCTCTCTTCAAAACATCTAAAAGTTTTTGTATTATCTGTTTATTTTTCTTGCTTTTGAGAATGAATCCATTTCTTAAAGTGAGGATCGTTTTGAAATTGGTTTTACTTTTGTATTTCACTCCACTCCATGGATTTTGCTTCTATAAAATAATTGTTTATATTTGAGCAGGTGCTACACGTGATATCGTACGGAGAACTGGTTTCGCCAGATTTTGTCTTTATTTATAAAATATTTTTTATTTAAATTTCTTTCAGATAAAGTTAACTGTAACAATGATGAATCAACCGTTTTAAACTCACCACCAGCTCTTAAATCAATTGAAAACATTTCATTTAATAAAGATGATCTTTTTATCGAATCTTCTGATGACACAATATGCCCCAGTCCAAAATTATCGAGACAAAAACATTATAAAAGAAAGAAACCTAAACTTTTTAAAACCGATGATGTTTGTACAAAGTCAAAATTAAAATTGGATTTGGATAAAGGAGAGGAGTGCGTTGCATTCCATGATAATTCTCCTACGCAATTATTGTCACAACAACATGATATTATTGATTGTACTATGATTAATGGAACTCCGAATGTGACGGGTAATTCTAAAAGGGGGCGATATTTTTTGGATTGTTCTAAGAAAAGAAATGTTAAAAAAAATAAAAAGTCTTTTCAAAATAATACTTTAACTCAAATGTTGTTTAATAGTGAAAGTATTTCTAAGGAAACTAATAAAATTGATGATTCAAGGTTAATAACACAATTAAACAAATTAATTTCAAATATACTTCAAACTTAATTTATAGGTGTGCAGATAAAAACTCGGTTTTACTAAAAAATCCTTTTATTTCAACTAAAACTGGAACAACGAAGGATGTTAATTCTAAACCTCCAAATGAGATAGTTTGTAAAGACCCTGTTGTTCGCGGGAAAGAACGATTAAAATTAGAAGGTTGGGATTGTGAAGAATGTGAAAAAGTAAATATTTATTTAATAACAGATTGTATAAGAAAAATTAATAAATTTTTAATTTAATAGTTTTATGGTGCGCTCGATTTAAATAGTCAAGAAGCAAAAAAGCTGCTTAACAAATGTTCAAAACATAGAGCAACACGGAAACCTACTGATTACACTATTCCTGGATATTGGACGCTTTCTTTCACTCAAACGCAAGAAAAAAAGGAACGGGAATTAGAGCAACATAAAACCGAAGATTCTACGTTTTTTCAATTTTAAGTAAAGTAAAAAACATGAGAAAATTTATTATATTATTGTAAAACTATTTTGATATTTTTAAATTAAACTAAAAGCATGGTATTATTATTTTTGATTAAATCCCATGTCTTGTTGTATTGTTATCCATGTTGTTCAAACCATGTTGTTGTTTGGGTTTATATTTGCTCTAGAATTCTATAATAAAGTGCCGGATGTAATTAGTTGACTTATTTCTTGTCGCTCTTGGTGGAGCATAGGGCAGCAGTAAAGGTTCTTTATCTGGTCCGGTTAGTAGCAAGGCATTTCACTTCTCTTCCACATCTTTCTTGGACGTCCTCATCTCCGCGATCCTTGGGGGTTCCAGTCAAGCGGTGACATCTCGTCCGCTTTTTATCGTGTAGTCATTTCCTCTCTTTGATTTGGTCACTAATGAGTCGTTGATTTGATCTCTTCCACAAATCTTCGTTGAATATCAAGTTGCAAGTGATTATAGCTGCTTCTGTTTCATCTTGCAGTTTTCTCAACTTTACCTCCATATTTCAAAATCTTTGTGAAAGTAGACAGTTGCCTGCAAATTCAAGATGTTGAAGTCTATTTTGCCGATTACTATTTTTCTTTCCATCTGTAACTTTTCTCATCACTGTATCTAACACCAGGGGGAACAGTATACAAGTGTATCTGCATTGCTTGGCCAAACTTCACCAACCTAATCTATGGAACAAAACTGTAAAAAACGTTCTATAAACATGTGTCTAAAAATGCTTCCTTAATAGGTTACGCGCGAATTTCAAAATTAATAGATTCCAATAATTTGCGTGTTATTTCAGTCGTTTATCTGAGTTAATCAAGTTCGTTATTGTCGAACTAAGCAAATGGTTTGATGTGGCCCAGGACGCAGAAATATAGAAACATGTGAAAGAAGTCTTCACCAAGAACTGATGGCTAAAGAGGGTGATATTTACAACGCTTACTGCTAGTTATGAAAGTAACCGTTTCATACTGCTTTTAACTGCGCGACCGAATCAGTCTTCGGCCAGTTTCTTCGAATCAGGTTCGAAATATTTTACGCCAATTGGGTGGTGACACTACAGGTAACAAAAACGATTTAAAGTGTAAACTTAACCAAATTTTAAATACAAAAAAAGTATCCGACCTGAACGACAGTTGTGAGTCATTAAATGATAGTTTTGGCAGTACTACAACAGTTGTTGATGGGAATTCTGGATCCGCATAATCACCGAGTCCGGGGCGTTGTCACAATAATAGACGGGTTCTTAATAGTACGGGTTTTTCGTCTGCTTAACAAGATTGATCAGCTAGAAAAGACTGTACGAGCGCTATTGATTCGTCTTACTAAATGCATAAAATCAAAAAAAAAAGAAATGTTACCACCAAATCAAAAAATTTAACCACCAAATCGAGAATCATGACGTCGAAGTACATTGGAATGACCTGTAATGCTAATGCTGCCGAACCCGAGCTTGTTGTTATCAAAAAACCTTGCATCTCGTCTGTGACCTCTGAGTCGAACCAAATCACCATCCCGAAACCTAAAGTTTTAATCTTAAGTGATAGTCACGGAATTTTGGTTTCTTAACGATTTGTAAACCGAACGCTACCCTGGAGAATGTACTGATTGACTCTGAAAGGTTGTGTCGCGATCTAAATAAGCAAGATTTTTTAATAATTGTTGGCGGTTCTGATGATTTACTCGCAAAAAAAAAACTATTCGTCCCCTTGTGTTTGAAAAGATTGAATATTTATGTAATTTTTGAAATGTCATATTTGTGTCGGTTTCCTTTTGGAACCAGCATCCTATTTTAAACAAAATGATCTTTGAACTAAATTGTAATCTTTATGACTTACTAATGAAATACGTCAAGGAGAGATGTGCATACATTGAAACAAACGCTTTGATTACTGACTACGACAGAACTCGTCATGGCCTACATCTTACGTATGCCGCTAAATTTTTGAATACGTCTCTAAACTCATTTTGGATTCGTTTAGGCGTAATATTAATCATAAAAACTTGATTACTGTAAATTGTACTTCGGCCCGCTCGCGTTTATCGGGCATCGACACGTATAGTAATAGTTTTTTTTGACAATTGTAATAATCAGACATCCGAGGGGCGACACATGTTTAAACTTTTGCATTATAATACACAGGTCTAACAGCAAAAACTCACGAATTTGAATCTTATTTGATGAACAATAATTTTGATGTATTATGTCTTGAATGAACATTGGCTGAGGGACTCTGAGATTTGTAGTCTTAAGATTCTTAGATATTCGTGTGTCTCTTACTTCTGCCGATCTAAGCGTAGGCGTGGTGGAACTGCTATTTATGTAAACGAGGGATCCGTGCCCAGGGTTTGTCCTTTGCCGTTTGATATGGTTGGGTTTTGTAGTGAGATAGATTTTGAGATTGCGGGTATCAATTACGGTACTGTATAATTGCTAACAGTTTATCGGTCGCCGCTTGGGAATTTGCAGACCTTTTTGGGCAGATGAATGACGAATTGCATAAGCTTTCCTATAGCAAACCCATTGTGGTTACTGGAGATTTCAACGTGCGTTTTGAGCGAGATTGCCCGCCTGGTGTGCAACCTATGTGCATCTTATGGGCTGCATAGAAGTGTTGATGGAAGCACTCGCGAAAACTCTTGTATAGACAATATATTTACCAACCTAGACTCAGCCTTATTCTCTACTGCAGTTATTGATCCGTCCATCTCTGATCACCTTGCTATATTCTTTGTGTGATCTGTCTAGCCTTGTTTCGCGATGCAAGGCTGAGGTTAGTTATAGACCGGTGACGGAAGAGGGTCTCCTACAATTCTACACCTTTCTTGATAATGTTGATTTCTGTTTTGTTGGTGATGTTAGTTTGCATGTGGGTAAAAAGTTTTTCTTATTCATTGAACAGTTTACAAACGCCTTCCGTTTGCTCGAAGAAACATGCAAACTCCGAACACATTAAAAAGTCAGGCAATAAGCAACGAGCCATATGGCAAGTTATTCAAAGCAATAATCCCGTAATATGTAAACGTTCATCCGATAAATTAACGGCTTTTGATTTTAATAGCTATTTTGCAGGTGTGGCCCGTAGTATCATATCGACAATTGATCCACATCCTTCGAGACATCACGACGCCACCCCAGGTTCTCCTGTAAACAATTCTATCACCAATGGTTTTGAATTTAAACCAATAACATTCAATGAGCTGCGCAACATAATTTCTAAATTAAAGAACTCGACGTCTAGGGACGTGTATAACTTGAACAGTAAGCTAATAAAAACATCTTTAAATATAGCCATCTATCCACTTTGTAAATTATTGATTAACCAGTGCATATCTGCATCAATTTTTCCTGACTGCATGAAGGTGGCCAAGGTTATTCCAATACATAAGACGGCCCCCTACACGAGCCCTCAAATTATAGGCCTATCTAGGATCTATTCTACCAATCTTTGGAAAAATTCTTGAGGTAGTCTTGAATGGGCAACTTGTATCTCATCTAGAATCCAATGATTTGTAGTACAGGTCAATTTGGATTTAGAACAAATAAATCTACGACGAATGCCGTTCATGCACTGGTTAGGTTTGTCCAGGGCGGCTTCGAGGCCAAGAATCACTGGGAGCCGCATTCTAGGAATAATGTTCCACACAACTCAGAAGTAATGCTGTCGTTTTGCAGCAACGTATGATGGAATCGCACGATTGCATCTTTAATTGGTTCCGGTGCAATATGTTAATCATGAATGATGCTAAAACACAAGCCCTGAATTTCTCTCTCATACGTTTGGAGGTATGCGTGGAGCCTGTCAGGTATCTGGGAGTATGTCTTGACTCCGGCCTGACATGGAAAGCCCACGTTGATAATTTATCTAAAAAACTGAATACCGCCATATTTGTTATCCAGTCACTTAGAGGGCTCGTTCCTTTCGATGTGCTCATGAAGACATATTATAGCTACTTTTTTGGCCACGTTTCTTACGCGTTCCTGTGTTGCGGTCGTTCAGCCCATGCGGACCAAATTTTCAGTGCGCAGTCAAGATGCGCTAGAGTGATGGCCAACTTGATATTTCGGGCCTGCTACAGGGGTAAATTCATTGAGTATCATATTTTAACTTTTCCCTCGCTCTGCATCCTTCATTGTCTTATGTTCATCAAAAATAATGTTCCCCAGCTTAGGACTTTTAACTCATATCATAATTACTATACTCGGGCGGGTGATGGATTTATCACCAATTATTCTCGATCTTCTAAGATTGCATTCTGCGACCTAACCAAAGCCTTCGATTTGGTTAGGTGAACCATTCAATATTATTAGGCAAACTAGAAAAATATGGATTAAGAGAAAATTCCGTGAAGTTTCTAGCATCATCTTTGCAAAGAAAAAAACAATCAGTTTTTTGGCGAGGTCAACAATCAACTTGGAGAGAAGTGGCAACAGGACTACCCCAGGGTTCGATCTTGGGACTGTTACTATTCCTCATATATATTAATGATTTGTCAGAAAGTGTCAAAACAGAGTTAATTTGTCTTTATGCGCATGACACATCTTTTGTTACAAGAAGTGGTGACATCAAGAAGCTTAAAGAAAAAACAAAACATTGAAAAGGTAGCGCACTGGTTTTCCATAAACAAATTAAAACTAAATAAAGAAAAAAAATCACCTTTTCAACAAAACAAAATGATGAAATAACCGATAAATGCATAAAGTTCCTTGGAGTGACTATCTCCGAAACGCTTAAATGGGCCCAACATATATCCGACTTAAAAGGACGACTATTAAATGCCTTATGTTGTGTTAAGACTATACGTTGCAAGCAGAGACACTGCGTAGCGTATATTTTGCATATTTCCACAGTATAGCGACGTATGGGATTACTGCGTGTGGTGCATCAAGAGAAATGGAAGACATTTTTATAATACAAAAAAGGCAATTCGTGTACTAGCTGGGCTAAGAAATCATGAGAGCTGCAGAACTCACTTCAAAAAATTAAAAATACTCACCTTATCCAACACCTTACAACAAAAAAGACTCGCTTCTAAACACTGCAAACGAATAATGATGAATAAATATTCTTCTGCGAAAAATATGCTCCTGAAAAAGGAGGTTTATTCAATTCAGTCCAAGAATATTGTGATTGTTTATAATTTTAACCGACTCATTTTCTAAATGCAAGTTATTGTAATAACCTTTTTGACGTAATATTGTATCGATTTTTGTACTTATTTAAATAAATATGAATATATTATTAAACAATTGTCGTTATTGTTAAAATCATAGTTCACAAATGTTATTAGTAGGGCACGGAACTTTTCTAACAAAACGATACGATTTCCCCCCTCCACTCGTTCACAGCAGAAAATTTCATACAAAAGTTGTTCTAAATTAAATTCTAAAACTATTTTCTCAATAAAAAATATATATATAAATTTTTTTTGAGATTATGTTCTTAATTATTGATCAAATCAAAAATTTTTATTAACAATATTTGTTTAGAATTACTTCAGGAACAGTGTTTATTAATACAATTTTTTGCTAACTTGAAATTTTAATTTCCCTCTGAATAGTATGCTATCAAAATTAATTATCTCAACAATTATTGTTTTTATTAAAAAATGTTTTAAATAAAATTTGTTTCAATTTCGATTTTGAATCAATTATCTTAATAAAAAATTTTTGCATCTCTATTAATTAAGCATCTAAGTATAATTATGTATAAAAACGGAAAAATTATTATTTTGAGGTTATCTCCTTAATTATTGATTAAATCAAAAAAAATTGTTGACAAAGTTTGTTTAGAATTGTTTCAGGAACAATTTTTGTTAACATAATTTTTTGCTAACTTGAAATTTTAATTTCCCACTGAACAGTATGTTGTTCTTTTAATCAAGATTTTCTGATTGAAATCGTATCGTTTTGTTACAAACGTTCCGTGCCCTGGTTATTAGTTATGGCACAAATTACTAGATACGTGGAAAAAGTGCTACCAACTGACTCTTATTTTGCTGATAGCAATCCTACCAACAAACACAGTTTATGCAACACTGTGTTAACACATACTATAACTTGTTTAATGTGAAGTTTCTAATTTAAGTGTTATTTATAATACCAGCCTATGAAAGCCTTTGTACTGATAATGAATAAGTTTGGGTTAATTTTAAAGAATTTGAATAAAATTAAAATCTATAATGTAAAGGCTTAATAACAATTTATTATTGAACCACTAAAATCAATATATGATACTCAATAACTAGTACCTAAAGATCTAAATTAATGACGTTACACAAAAAACAAAACGTGATTTCAGTCTTTCAGCACACCATGAAAATTAAGCTGAATGTATTTATGTAGATAATAAAAAAACTAACATATACCAATCAACATTAATAAATTTATCATGAATTAACATGCAAAAAAAAAACTTCTTTCCTCCCTTGAGCTGTATCAATTCTCCATTCTTTATTTTTAATCCAATGGATCTTCTTCTGGCATTCCCCCGGTTGATGGAGTGGTTCCTCCAAAACCTCCAAAATTTGGCATACCACCCGGAAATCCTGGAAAACCACCTGCTCCACCTTGACTACCCAATTTCGAAGATAATTTTTCAATTACTGCTTTTATTTTTGGGTTGTTTTGATAAGATGCTAATTTAGCAGGATTTGTAGATATATCTTTAAATGCTGCTTCTACTTCAGGATCCTACACAAATATATATAGAAGTTTATAAATAAAAAATGATTTTTTTTTAAATTTGAATTTACCTGAAATGCTTGCAATATTTCAGGATCTTGTAACAATTTATATAAATTTCCCATGCCACCCATTCCTCCCATTCCAGGCATTCCACCCAAACCCTCCTCATCACCAGTTGCCTCTGGTTGAGTTGCAGCCTTAGCATGAGCTTCTCTATAAGCTCTAAGTTTTTCCCTTTTAACTTTTTCTTCCTTATCAGCTTTTTTCCTTTCAATTTTAATGTTATGTTGTTCAATTTTCAACGCGTTCGGTTGAACTTCTTTCAACCACTCATCAGTTTGCTCATCGAAATCAATTTTAGCAGCTTGTCGTAAATCTTTAGCTGATTTTTCCCATTCTCCTAATAAACGATAGGCACGCCCTCTGAATTTGTAAGCGGCTGCTGAGTCACAGTTCAATTCCAAAGCTTTTGTGCAATCTTTAATGCAAGCATTTGGTTTCGACATGTTTAAATATGCTTGTCCTCTTTTGGCAAACAATAAGGCAGATTGAGGGTTTAATTTTATTGCTTCAGTATATAATTCAACAGCTTTATCATAGTTACCAGCAGCACCTTCTTGAACGGCTTCAATACGTTTCACATCAGCTTGATCTTCTTCTTCTACACTAACCTCTTTAGTGGAATCTCCCATAATTTGAGTTTCTTCATTAATCACATCAGGTTCAATACAACCTAACACACAAAATATTCATTAATATGTATTATAAAATGAAATAATCATTATGATTACCTGTTGTGTCAAATTCCAATTCGGATTCGACATCAGAATCAATGTCCCCAGTTTCTTTTGGATCGACTTCCGGTTCGGAAGCCATTGGTTTAGTAGTAGAAGGTTCTTCAGTAGGAGTTACAGTTGGGTTTTCATTCCTTGGTGGTAGCGTAGCTCCAAGTGAAACGATATAGTCTCTGAAGAACTTTAATTCATCAAAATGCAAAACGTCGGGTTGTTGCTTGCAAACGTCAATAAACAGCTTCAATTTGTCGATGCTGTCTTGATCCAGAGGCATGGTTTTCATATTCGATGGTTTTTGAAGTATAAATTTAGTAAACTTTGGTAAAAGCTGGATAAAAAGAACAGAATTTAGGCCCGGATTAAAACGTACGTGAGGGAATAAATTAACAGCCGATAAAACACCGGTCGCGGTCGTTGTCTCAAGTTTTCGACTAGAGGGCGCTGGCGCACGTATTTATCAAACTTTACTGGATCTTTCTAGAAAAAATCGGTTTTACATATATTTATAACAAATATTTATCTTAAACGTGTTTAATTCAATAACATTTAAAAATTTTTATTCAAAATTTAAATTCAACTTTAAAATAAGATTAATATTTTTATGTTGCTATGGTAACATATATTACAAAAATAATAGAAATGACAGATGTCAAAATTGTTAAATTTTAGGTTATGTCGTTTTAGTAAACATCAAAATAAACGTTATAAAACGTTAAAATGAGTGTAGATCCTCCTCGAAAAGTAATAATCTAAATTTTGATTAAAAACAAATTAAAACGTAATCCTTTTTAGAAGTACCGACGACATGAAGAAGAAAAGGATTCTGATTCTGACGATAATTATGTTCCTTACGTTCCGGTTAAAGAAAGAAAACGACAACAATTGTCGAAATTGGGAAGAATTGGACAGGTAAAAGTAAAAAGATGCATTTGTTAGATTTTAATATGGTGTTTAATTAAATTTTAGTTAAAAGATGAACAAAGTAAACAAAAATCATCAAGCGAAAATGATAGCAATGAAGAAGATGAAGACAAAGAGAAAGTTTGGGGGCGAAAATACAATATTTCTTTATTAGATCAGCATACAGAGTTAAAAAAATTAGCAGAAGGTATAAAGTGTGATTTTTTTTTCTTAAATTTTATTGCATTCTGGTCAATCTTGACCAATAAGCAAGATAATCTTAAATTACAGTATACACAGCCTTATTATTGTTTCCAACTGCTAATGTGTGAGACATAGACATTAATGAGTGAAATAATAAAGATCAGAGTAATGTTCAACAGTCATGTTCTGCTTAGATTAGATTTGAAGAACATACGAATTCAATCACAGTAGGGGGGTGCCACCACAATCTACACAGATTCTTCTTTGTAGATTCAGCTGATGATAGCTTATTAGCCAAAACCGGTTCTAAATATATTAATTTTTGTAGTGTGAAAGAAGTTAATTATTTCAATACCTATCTATATTTAATATACATTTATGAGTCACAACATGGATTACCAAAGATAATTTACTTTATTTGGTTCAGTGATAATAAACTGACGCATGGAAGATAACTTGAAGCTTACTTTGTCTTCTTTTTTGACGTGCCTTCCATAACAGTCATTTGAAATGCATGATCTCTTATAAAATGTGGCCACCACTTCTTAACACTTTCGTGAACAGAAATGCATATGCAGTCAATTGGTGCGTTTATTGTTGAACTATTAAAATCATAGTGTCCGCAAAAGTGTTGAACTCCTTTATTTCTACAGTCATCACTTTTATTATATTAAATCTTCCTGTTTTGTTTGAATTTTTTCATTAACACCTCATATTCATCAGGCCTGTAGATCTGATCAGTTTTGCATAAAAGTTTTTTCACTGCTTTGAAGTCTCTGTCACAGGGTATAAATGAATGGCTCCTGACAGGAAAGAAAATTTCTACTTTTTTAAAGGTTTTCAATTCCACTAAGGCCATACACATTTTTAGCAAAGAATGATTTTTATTTTGTCCACAGCAACCGTCGAAAAAAAGGAGAAGATTTTCTTGATAATCTGTCTTATATCTGTTAATATACATTGTTGGAAATAATTCACGAGCACACCCTATATAATCTGAACGCGTGAAGATAAATCCATAATATTTGCGGGGGGCACAAAGGTTTACTGTAGACGAGTTTATTCAGGGAGTTTCGAGTTGTTCCGTCGCGGCATTGTTGACTGAGCCGCCCTTCCAAGTGGAACATTCCGTCGCTATGGAGACCGAAGTGGATGGAAAATACCGGTCGCTTTTAGTGTGGTGTGAGAGACCACGTTGTTATCGTACTCTGTGCGCAATGGATAGGCGATCGCGTTACTTAAGCGAGTTTGAGCTAGGAATGTTTGTGGGTATGGACATTGAGGGTGTATCGTTCTGTGAAATTGCGCGTCGTCTCGAGCGGTCGTTATCGGCAGTGCAACGGGCATGGCGAGAATGGTCTGAGATAGGACACACGAGGATCGCACTCTTGTGCTCAGCGCTTTAGCGTCGTGTGTGTCCTCCTCAAGGTAACTCGGAGCTGCTTGGCCACCGGCAGGGGAAGGCGCACTCACTACGCGAACTGTACGGCGGCGTTTGGTAGATAGTGATCTGATAGTGACTGCGCGCGCGTCGTGCGATACAGCGGATTTCAGTAACACCAGAGCACCGCAGCATACGTCACGAGTGGGTCGACACTAGGCATTTTTTTTGTTTTCCGACGAATCAAGATTCGAATTGAGCACCGGTGATGCGCGAATTTTAGTTCATTGGAGCCGTAGTGATCGTCTATTCGAGCAGTGTGTGCAAGAGCACCCTATCCACCGACAACCGAGCATTATGGTATGGGGTGCGATTACATATGGTGGACGTACACGTCTGCTGCCTGTATAGCAGACCATGACGGGTCAACGATACGTAGATGAGGTGCTACGGTCCGTTGTGCTTCCCTACGTTCGGCGGCTCCCAGGTCTGCTATACATGCACGACAACGTACGACAGCACATCGGGCATGTTGTACAGACCTTTGTGGAAGAGCACCGTATACGAATGCTTCCATGGCTAGCTCGGTTTCCGCATCTGAATCCGATCGAACATGTTTGGGACATGACTGGTCGGAGACTTCTACGTTATCCGGCTTCCTCCGGCTAACGTTGAGGAGCTATGGAGACGAGTTGAGATGGCATGGTTGGCCATCCCTCTCGCTACAATACAGCGACTTATAGACTCCATGCCACGTCGTGTAGCGATGGTACGCGAAGCTCACGGGGGATACTCTCGCTATTGATGTTTCTCCTCCCAACAGAGTTGTGCCGCTCTCCATGTGAGAGTAAGTTACACTACTTTAGTACTACTTCCATACCAAATTTTATTGCGCTAGACACACGCGTTCAGGTTATACAGGGTGTGCTCGTGAATTATTTCCAACAGTGTAACTCACTAGTAAACTGCAAACTTCATTGGGAGTCTTTTTTGTTATATCTTCATGGTATATATGTAAATCCGCTTTTCCAGTCGCTAAATCATGCATTTCGAATGTGTTGACTCAAAGATATCGCAGATATTAAAAATATTAGAAGAAAGAATATTAGCAAGGTGTAAGTTTTGCATAATTGTCCTTCATTTTTTTGTGACCAAACTTATAGTTCACAATAAAATTTTGTAGCTCTACGTTTATGAATTATTAATTCTGATCTTTAACTTCTGACCAAGCTCTTCACACGTCTACTTGCGGCCGACCAAAGGAATAGGCGAAATTTTCATTAAAATGGAGGCGAATATAGTCGCATCCCACTTTTTCATTAGGATTATTGAACCTGAATCTTTCATAAAGGCGTTTAATATTGAGACGGGCAGCTAGATACTTTTTGTCTTTCCCTTGGTATTTTGCCACCTTTGTTTAGAAATCTTGAATCTTTTTTGATATTGCTGCCTGAATGGCATTGTAACCGGTTTCCTTTCAACCCAAATCTCGTGGGGATTTTGCAAGTGATAATATTGCATACCGTTTTTGTTATACCGTAAATTGCAATGAACGCTTTTTTACAAACTGTTGTGGACGACCCTTTGATTTTGACTATGTATGAGAAAAAATTACTTTTTTTACATTGTTCGACTGCTCCAATTCGATATTTTGTCTTCTACGCCTAATATTTCTTTTTTTGATAAGTGCTGTCAAAAATAAATCTTGTGCATCCTTGTTTGGTAATTCATAAAAGTCTTGAATGATTTGCATAAAATCGTCATTGTCAAACTTCAAAAACATCCAAGTTTGGAATTGCAGTTAGGGTTTGTTGATCAGGAAATCACAGGTTTCCAGTCAACTCATTTTTGCATACAACACTGTACAACAAACTATACAGTCAAAAGCAAAAAAAATCGCCACAATGAACGAATTGTATGATATTTCCTAATTAATACATTTAACACACTGCGGTTCTTTGGCAAAGTATCGTTGGATGGCAGTTTTTACACTACGGGATAATTAGTTCTATCTTGACTTTATTTCATAGTATCTCTTTAATTTCGTAGAATTTGTTAACATCTTTATCGTGATTAAACAGCAGTACATAAATGTCTAGTAGTTACGTTTCTCACTTTGGTTAGTTGATTACCTCAAGTATTTTGTAATCTCTTCCATTCAATTCGCCAACAATTTTTTGCTGTTTTACAGTCATAAGGCAAATATTTTACACTACATTTTAGCTACATTTTGGTGTAGCGTTTTTGTTACTTTTCGTGTTCTAATGTTACTGGTGCACGTTTTAGTACTTTCTTTCAAAGTTTTCATTTCTTTATTTTTCAGTATTTTGTTCTTTAGCTGGAGCCATTCTTCTATTATTTTGTTCCTTGCTCTTTTAATCTAATTCGCTCTGCCTTCCTCGCTAACACTACTTCGCCTGTTTGATCATTTATATTTCTGTCTTTTTTAGTTTGATTGATACAGCGTGCAAAGAAAATATTCGCAATTAGAATATTTTCTTTCAAATGTTGTTAAAACAATAAATAAGGTAAAGTTAAAATATTTATATTTTTGAAATTAATTTGTTTTTTAGCTAAAAAGGTTAGTGCTGTTGAAAGACAGCTGAAAAAAGAAGAAGAAATCCTAGAAATTGTTGCAGAAAAAAAGGCTTTAATGGGTGTATCTGAATTGGCTAAAGGAATTCAATACAGTGAACCTATAAAAACAAGGTAAATATCCTTTTTGTAGTCGCTTTTCTAAATATTAACATTGTTAATTATTTAGTTGGACGCCCCCTCGTTATGTTCTACAATTACCGAAAATCCGACATGAAAAAATCAGACATGAGTTAAGAATTTTAGTTGAAGGTGAAGAAATTCCACCACCTTTAAAATCATTTAAAGAAATGAAATTTCATAAAGCTATATTGGATGGGTTAAAAGAAAAAAATATTAAAAAACCAACTCCTATTCAAGTACAGGGTATCCCAACTGTGTAAGTCTAAATAACACTTTTTTTCTATTTTTAATACTTACATATCTGTGTTATATTTTAACAGATTATCTGGAAGAGACATGATAGGAATAGCTTTTACTGGTTCAGGAAAAACATTGGTTTTTGTTCTCCCCTTAATTATGTTTTGTTTTGAACAAGAATTTAAGTTACCATTTATTAAAAACGAAGGTCCTTATGGATTAATAATTTGCCCATCTAGAGAATTAGCAAAGCAAACTTACGATATAATTCAACATTTTTGTAAGTATTTGATCAAACATAATTTACCGGAAATACGAAGTTGTTTGGCCATCGGGGGAGTTCCCGTTTCGGAAAGCATTGACATTATTCAAAAGTAATTTTTCAACATTTTAAGAAATCCAGAAATAACTTTAATTTTTTTAGAGGTGTTCATATTATGGTGGCTACACCAGGACGTTTAATGGATATGTTAGAGAAGAAAATTGTTAAATTGGGCGTTTGTCGTTATTTATGTATGGATGAAGCTGATAGAATGGTTGATTTAGGGTTTGAAGAAGATGTTAGAACAATTTTTTCATATTTCAATGTAAGTATTTAAAAAATTACTAATTGAATATTATTAATTAATTTATTTATTATTAGGGTCAAAGACAAACTTTATTATTTTCTGCTACAATGCCAAAAAAGATTCAAAATTTTGCACGTTCAGCTCTTGTAAAACCTGTAACAATTAACGTTGGTAGAGCTGGTGCTGCTTCAATGAACGTCATTCAAGTAAGATTCAAAAATAATTGAAGTAAATAAAGATTGGAATTAATTGAATTCTTTTTTAATATTAGGAAGTAGAATATGTTAAACAAGAGGCAAAAATTGTTTATTTATTAGAATGTTTACAAAAAACACCACCACCAGTATTGATTTTTGCTGAAAAGAAACAAGATGTTGATGCTATACATGAATATTTGCTTCTAAAAGGAGTTGAGGCTGTTGCTATTCATGGAGGAAAAGGTAACGTTTAAAATTTTTTTAATTTATTTTATTCATTTCTAATACCACTTTTTTTTATGACACAGACCAAGAAGAAAGATCACGTTCTGTAGAAGCATTTAGAAAAAAACAAAAAGATGTTCTTGTTGCTACTGATGTAGCTTCAAAGGGCTTAGATTTTCCAGATGTACAACATGTTATTAATTATGATATGCCTGATGATGTTGAAAATTATGGTATGTATTGTTATGACTTTTATTAATAGTTTTATATGCTAAAAACAAAAACAGAAAGTACAACATCCTAAACATTATCATAAACTGTACTAGGTAAAGCAAGAGCTGTGATATTAGTCATATGATATAGTTAATAGTACATGCAACGTATATAATTTTTAATAGCGTAAAATGAAAATTATAATCGGATGTTTTTAAATTAAGAATTAAAAGAATTCCAAAAGATAGTGTAACGGTAAAGATCGATCGACTTATGGTAAAAATACAAACATAAACGATTTCTATCTAATCCAAATTAGAAATTAAAATTCACAGCCTCGCTTATACAGGTTGTCCCACGTAAGCAACAAAGTACATAAATGGCATTAAGAAGCCGATATACGCAGTTCTTCCTTAGACAAAAGTTGTAAGAAATTTATCACACTATAAACGGAAAATATTTTATACATACAGGTGTTCCATAACGACGTAGCGAAATAAACATATGTTATTTTAAATGGAATGATATAGTTTTTATTGCGTATTCTGATTCTACACACAAAACTAAGTTGATTTTGATAAGACATGTTAATACCTAGTGCTTTTAGTTTTTGAGTTATGTTAATTAGAAGCTTTTCTTTGCAATTAACATTGTGCCCTTCAAATCTGAATTTCTTGGTGACTAAACGAGCTAGAAAGTTAAAATTTGTGACAGTTGCTGCTTGGGTATCCTTAAGTAGAGTGTCATTGGCTACATCGGTCTATCTTATACAGGTGTTTAAAAATTTAACTACTGTTTTACCATATTCAATTGCAAAAAAGTCGAAAATTTTAAGTGGAACACTCTATATTGGACTAGTTAATCAGATACAGAATTTAATTCTCTACAAATCTTCACTACATATCCCTATACCTATCAGTTGTAGTTTTTGAGATATAGTGGAATTATCAATATCATGCAAAGTATGGCAGATCTTGTTCATTTTTTCATTAGTAGGCCATAAAATAAGATGATAAATAATTTTCAACCAAACTTTATTTATAAGTGTTCAAATATCTGCCATCTGTGCTTTATGCATAGATGAAGCCGCTTTACGAATTCGGCTTGCACATTATCTAATGTTTCAGCAGAGGTATTTCTAAAGCTTTCCTTTATTCTATTCTTCATATCTTCTATCGTCGTTGGAATATTAGCGTACCACTTGGGTTTTGACATATTCCCAAAGGAAGAAGTCGCGGGCAGTTACATCAGGTAATCTTGCTGGCCACGGTATTGGACCTCCACAACCAATCGAATGTCTTCCATAACCAATATTTAAAAAGTTGTGAAAAACATCTTTTTTGTCTAGTTTCTAAATCTACATCTTCTAGCAACTCTGGCAACTCTTCCCATATTCAATTTTCGTAACCGGAAATAACGGTTTCTTTTGGTCTCGATATGTCCACAACTAAGAAAATCTTTATTAATTTTTTGGATTTTTTTCTTTGTGATGGGCGTTAAGTTTGTTAGGCATCTCTGATTAAATGTTCGACACATCCTGTCCAAAAGTTTATCCTACGCCATCAATACAAAATAAATTTCAAATTTCGGCGTTGGAATAATTTGTCATGATGTTCAATGACTTAAACCCGTCGTCAAATGTAACTAATGACAACAATAATACAAACATGGACCAAAAACTGTCAAAATTCCATGGGTTTTTATTTAAAAAAACCTGCATTCCGTGCTTGTTTTGATAAGTTTCCTAATCTTCTAAATCCTCATCATCTCCATATGAAGTCTCGGTTTCTATAACGGTCTCTGTCTCGTCATCGGAAGCTGCATCTTCTAACGACGGCACATAATCAGGATCCGTGTCTTCATTGATATCGAATTCATTGATTTTCTCTGCCTAACCTTTCTTTCATTTAACTCCTCTTTTCTTCCGAAAAATGTTGATATCTTGTGGTGCGATACACAAATAAATTCACTTCAATAAAAACTCACAGATGTTTATAACTACAAAAGCTGCTGCTATACTAACACGTTGCCTGCGCTCTATTCAATCTGTACGTTCTACATACACGTTCAAACATGTTTAAATCGCCTGCCCCATGATTCGTGCCACCCATCAAGTGTGTAAAAGCAGGTCTGCACAGACCTGCTTGTGCAAACCTGCTTGGTCCGCTGAGCCATTTAGTTTGTAAATACGAATAAAACCGAACACAAACACATAAGCCGTCTGATTTAGTACTCATTGTGTTCGCTGTAGCAGATTTTAGGCTACAAAAAACCTAAAAACCTGCATTCCATGCATGTTTTGATAAATTTCCCATTATGAGGGAAACTACAATAAATAGATATGGAAATTAAACTGAAACTAGAACTAACACTAGTCCTAGAAATTTTCGGGTTAAGCCGTGCGTCTTTTGACAAAAATTTTTACGTTTCGGATGCCATGTTGCAACTTGTAGCACTTTGGTTTTGTCAAACTCTATGGTGTGTCCTCCTTTGTGGCAATGCTCTGCGACTGCAGATTGTTGGATTTTACTCAGTCGGTCATCCCTCACGTATACCTTGATACGGCAATCGATGTTACGTCCAGTTTGGCCAACGTCATATTTCCCGCAACTGCACGATAGCCGATAGGCTCCCGCTCCCTTTAAAGGGGTTAGTTTGTGTTTGCTGACCGTATCGTACCACGATATCATTCCTCTTCAGACACCTCGCAATTCGCTCCGTCACACCTGAAACATAAGGAAGGCACATAAAACCGGCTAGTGTCGTACTTACCGAGTCATACTTCTGTTTGCGTGGTTTGGTGGCTCGTTAGATATCCCTCATCGTATAGCCGTTCTTCTGTAGTACATCTTCTAGGAATCTTTCTTCTTTTCTCAGGTTCTCTTTATCAGATATCATCTCTGCTCGCTGGAATAAGGCTTGAATCACGGACCTCTTCTGTTGTGGGTGGTGGTGGGATGAAGACTGTAGGTACCTATTTGTATTCCACGCCCCCATCTGTCTTCCTGGTGACCAACACATCTAGGAATGGCAACTGTTATGCAGTTTCTGTTTCCGTGGTAAATTTTATCATGGGGTGCTGTGAATTGAGGTGGTCTAGAAGTTCCTGTAATGGTTGCTCTTTTCAATGCCAGATCACGAAAGTGTCAGCGACGTAACCGAGCTATAGCTTCGGTTTCTACGGACTCTTCTTTAATGCTTCCTCTTCAAACACCTCCATGTAAAAATTGGCGATCACAGGTTACAGAGGTCATCCCATGGCTGCCCCTTCGCATTGCTCGTAGAACTCTCCCTTCTAGCTAAAATATGTCGACGATAGGCAGTACTCTACTAGTCCTGGGACATATTGCGGTAAGCCCTCTGTTATAAAATTAAACCATTTAGACCACGATTTAGACAGATTTGATGATGCCAAACGTTTGGATTTCTGTCTTGAGATTGGTAATGAAATGTTAAATAATCGAAATTTTGCCCAGCTCACCATTCACACATTGTGATCGAATGGTTAAATTTACAATTTCGTCAAAAATGGATTGGACGAAATGGTCCTATTTTATGGCCAGCACGTAGTCCTGATCTTACAATTATGAATTTTTATTTTTGGGGACGATTGAAACAAATTGTTTACAGTGAACCATTACAAGACGATGAACTGTTAAAAGTAAGAATAATTAATGCGATACAATCTCTACCACTGTACTGGCGGAAATTCATAATTCTTATAAAGAATTTAGAACTTGTCTTCAAATGTGTGCCGAATTTGTTTAAATGAATAGTTGATTTGTTCACTTACAAATAAATAATATTTATTACTTACATAGTGTGTTATTATGTAAATTTACATTTAAAATATTTTATTCAATACTATGGCAAAATACCATAGTTTTATTTGATTTGTCCATACATTTCTCACTAACATAAGTTGTAGCTTTTGTGACTTTTGTTAGTGATGCAACGGATAGTGATTTTGCGAAAAGCCGGATATCCGGCATATCTATCCGGTCATTATGGTTATAAGTTCTGGTGCATTTCTTGCATTTCTGATTGCTACACTATTGCGATATTTGAATAAAAATGAAAGTAATAAGAAAGCTGATAAGATATGTCAACTTATTTGGATCCAAGATACAAAATGAACTTTTTTGATGCTGATTTAACTCATGAAGCAACTCTTTAAAAGAGGATACTTTAATTAATAATTGGCGATATTTCCACAAGGATCCTTCAAGAAATGAATTTTATAGCGAATTTTGAAAGTTATCGATGAAAATTGCAACATGGAAAATTTTTTCAAAACTTCAAATATTGTTTTCTCAAAAACTAAAAGTTATTTTTCAAAACGTGTTGTTGCATTAAAAGGATGATGCTTTAATTAATAATTGGTGATATTTCCACAAGGATCCTTCAAGAAATTAATTTTATAGCAAATTTTGAAAGTTATCGATGGAAATTGCAACATCGAAAATTTTATCAAAACTTCAAATATTGTTTTCTCAAAAACTAAAGGTTATTTTTCAAAACGTGTTGGTTCATTGAAAAGAGGACACTTTTATTAACACTTTGGGAAATTTTCATACTCATATTCCAAGAAATGGATTTTATACGAATTTTTGAAACTTAATCGGCGGAAATTGCAAAATTTGAAAAAATCGTCTATTATTTCAAAAATTTATTTCTCAAGAACTAAAGGTAATTTTTCAAAACGGCTTTTTGCATTAAAAAGAGGATACTTTAATTAATAATTGGTAATATTGCCAGAAGGATCCTTCAAGAAATTAATTTTATAACGATTTTTGAAAATTATCGATGAAAATTGTAACATCGAAAATTTTATCAAAACTTCAAATATTGTTTTCTCAAAAACTAAAAGTTATTTTTCAAAACGGGTTAGTTCATTGGAAAGAGGACACTATTATTAACACTTTGGAAAATGTTCATACTCATATTCTAAGACATGGATTTTATACGAATTTTGAAAACTTAATCGGCGAAAATTGCAAAATTTGAAAAAATTGTCGGTAATTTCAGAAATTTATTTCTCAAGACCTAAAAGTGATTTTTCAAGACGGTTTTTTGCATTAAAAAGAGGATACTTTAATTAATAATTGGTAATATTTCCAGAAGGCTCCTTCAAGAAATTAATTTTATAACGAATTTTGTAAATTATCGATGAAAATTGAAAATTTTATCAAAACTTCAAATATTGTTTTCTCAAAAACTGAAAGTTATTTTTCAAAACGTGTTGGTTTATTGAAAAGAGGGCACTCTTATTAACACTTTGGAAAATTTTCATACTCATATTCCAAGAACTGGATTTTATACGAATTTTTAAAACTTAATCGGCTAAAGTGCAAAATTCGAAAAAATTGTCGATCATTTCAAAAGTTTATTTCTCAAGAACTGAACGAGATTTTCAAAACGATGTTTTGCATTAAAAAGAGGATACTTTAATTAATAATCGAAATTGATAACAGCGACAGTTCTATTAGTAATGTATGTGATGATGAATTATAGCGAAGAGAAGAGAACTAGACGAAACTGCAAAAAGAGATTTTATATATCGTATTGGGATTGTTACAATGAGGTTGCTAATGATAAATCTGATATAAATAAAGTTGTATTCAATGAAAAAGTCCTATTGGGGTTGAATTTGATTATTATGTGCAGTGTCCAAAACCTAAAAGAGATACTAATTCCTGTGAATGGTCGAGTACTAAGTAATAGGTTTTTAATATCCGGTCAAAGCATTATTTATGCTGAGATAAGTTTGAAAAATCAGTAACTTACTGTATACAGATGAAATAATAAATATCACAATTTCTGCATTTATATTTATTTATATAAAAAAGCAGAAACTTTAAACGCGTCAATTTTACGCAGGCTATACTTCTAGGGTTAATATTACTGAATTACTGTGGAGACTTGCTAATCCAAAGTAATTATAAGACGGACGATTTAGATTATAGAAAAATTCGGATTACTGAGTCACCATTAGAATAATTTAAAAATTGCGACTGTTAAACATTTATTATATCTGTCGAAATAAAAGTATTAATTCCTAAATAGATCTTCAAGTATAAAAAGTATTAGTAGAAGAGATTATTAAATATTAAAAAGAATATAGATATTTAATTTTAAACTTTATTTAAAAAATTAATCGTTCAAAACTTAAAAAAATACAATAATTTATGTAAGAAATTACAATACGGTGATGTAACGGATGTGGGTTTAGCGGATGCGGAGCCGGATTTTTTAATTCTAATTGCGGATGCGTAAGCGGATGTGGATTTAACGGATGCGGAGTTATTGAAAAAACTTACATACTAAAATTTTAATGAAAATAATATTTCTATTGTAATTTTCCAATTTTATATCTATATACATATAACACAGAACTCAACAGTTAAAATAATTAATATTCGTAATTTATTACAGGCAAGTTATATTTTAAAAAAAGCAATTTTGACGCTTTTTCTCCTCGAAGATTTTTTCTTTTATCCCTATATATTAAAGATGATCCACTAAATAGCTGTTCATTGGTAAAGCTGCTTGATGGCGTTGATAAATATTGGCGAACAATTGGCAATAAAACAGTATATTTGTACCCATTCTGTCGCCACCACATCAACGGGTCTTCTCCTAAAGACAGCCGTCTTTCTTTAATGTAATTTTGGAGCACAATTTTCGGTGTTGTTAACTGGTCATCTTCTGCCTCACTTTCGCTTGAACTTAGAATGGATTGTACTGACTGTAGTAGCTTTGAACAACTACTAGAATTAGTATCAATTTTTCTTTTCTTATGTGTCGGACTACAACCTTTATTTTCATGAATCGTTTGATTTTGACACAAATTAATTATTGTGGCTTCCACTTCTTTTATTTCAAAACTGTTAAAAAACTTTGTTTTATATCGCGGATCTAAGTACGTAGAAACCGAACATAGCAAATTTTGGTTTAAACCACCAAATCTTTCACTTATTTCTCGTATAACTTTAACGAAAAGTGCTTTGATTTTTTCTGGCGTATTCGGGTTATCTTTCTCAGCTTTTAATGTTGCCAGGATAACGTGCATAAGTGGTATAACCATAGAAATGCTGTTCTTTGAGTTACTCAATTCTTTAGTAAGTTCTTCGAACGGTGTCAACAATTTTAACAACAATTCAATTGTTGACAAATCATCAGGAGAAAATGATACAAATTGCTTTGTAGTTAAGTATAAAAGTAAAGAATCCTTTATTTTAACAAAACGCTCCAACATGTAAAATGTGCTGTTCCACCTGAAATTAAAATTAGTTACACAATTTCTGATTTATACAATCGTTGGCTTACCTAGTGGGACAATCTTGTATTGTTGACAATGGAGATTGCTTCATTCTTATTTCCTGTATAGTTTGTAGTTCATCTTGTGCTACTAGGGAATGATTAAAATGTGTTGAAACTTTTTTCACCTTTTCAATTACTTCTTGAATCCATTCTTCCGATAAAATCACATTTTTAATACAACACTGTATTTGATGAATCACACAATTAAAATCATTTAAACCAGATATCTGCATTGCTTTAATCATGTTCCTACCACGACCGCGTACCACACAGTGAACAGTATCGTGTTTTATACCCCATTCTTCAAGGATGGATTCAGTTTTTGTCGAAATAGCTTGATCCGGGTGACGTCCTTCCATTATTTCACATTTCAAAATAATTCTTACTCTTTCAAAACCTTCGTTTACACCATGAGCAGTCACACTAACCAATGAAGTCCCAGAACTTGTATCTGACCAAACATCAGTTGTAAAGGATACTTTCTTAAGATCGTTTAATAATGCTTTAATTTTATTTGCCACGCTGTTATATAAATCGTCACATACAAGCGATGTAAAAAACGGACGGCCCCTTAATTTATATCCTGGAAGTATTGTATTGATCAATCGCCGAAAACCAACTCCTTCAACGAAGTTGAATGGCAAGTCTTCCAAAGCAATCATTTCACCTATTAGTCGATCCGTATCTTTGGAGTTTGGATGTGGTAAATCCCAACATACATTCTGCGTTAAATATTCTTGCAAAGAAAGTTGTGTTGTAGTTGAACCTGTATCTGTAGATGTACTACAGGTTGGCTGGCCCTGTTCTGCATTTTCAGCTATACGTTTTTCTAACTCTTCAAATATTTTCGCGTGCTTCGACTTCAAATGATTTTTTAATGAAGATGTGGTACGCCCTTTTCGTGAATATTCCTTTTCGCAAATGTTACAACGAGCCACCGAACTGTTAATTTCCGAGAAATATTCCCAAATGAAGCTTGTTTTTGGTTTCATTTTAATTAATTTTATTTCGACAAACAACAAAACGAATCACGAACATGCATAAAACGAAGCATACAAGTTGCCGTCCGTTCAACAACTGATTGGCTTTAAGAATTAAGAACTTTAGTAGAACGGAGCGACATCGCGCTTATCTCACGTGTTCGTGCATGTTACAACATCTAGTTTTGAAAATGTAAAAAATCTAAATATCGAAAACTGTCACTACTATTTAAAAGTTATAATTAAATTATATGTTTCAAACTATTTAAAAAAATTAATTATTAATGCCGAACGTTGACCTGACCGGAGCACCGTTAAAATATATACTGATGCGGATCCTCAAAACGATGCGGATTATGCGCCGCAGCTGCTGATGCGGATGCGGATATCCGTTACATCACAGTATACAGGGGGTACCGTATTATACGTATACAGGTGTCTCACGTAAGCAACAAACTACATAAATGGCATTAACCTTCATAAACCCGTGGTCAAAAACTTACATTAAATACCGAGTGGGGTCCAAATGTACCCCAACATTTTTTTGGCTTATTATTATTTTTTTTAATGTTATAATTAGGGAATATTAAAAATAAAACACATTCTGCTTATAAAAAATATATATTTTTACATAAAAAAGTTGTCAACATTCAATGAGTATACGCATTTTGAAAAAATAATATGAAATGATTATAGAAATAATAAAAACAAAAATAATTATGAAAAAAGAACAAGCATTTTAGTGACATTTTAAATAATGATTTAATTATCACACTTGTTACAAACTGTTATATTTTTTGAATGCACATACGAACTAATTGTACCGAATACAAAACTTTCGAGATTTCCTGTCTTTACTTCTGTCGCATAAGAAACATCGCTGCTTTCTGCCAATAACGGGAACAGGTTGTTCGTTCCTTACGTTTAATTCTGGCAAAATGGTTAACATGGATTGTTTTATACTGAAATGTAACGACTTGTCATTTTGGTATCTACGAATTATGTTTTTACTAATTAATGCTTGGCCCAACTCCAACAAAAACATTCTTCTCCTATCCAAGCAATTTTTTTTCCAATCTGGATTTTTCAACATCCGTAGTTTATAGGCGTTGATGCCACCAATGTCCAGCAGATGAAAAAATATTTCCATCGGCCATCGATTACTTTTTCTTTGTGTCGTGAATTCCTTCGCTAATTTATCTGTTGTGTCCACTGCACCCTTTGTTTTATTGTATTGTAAGATAATGTCTGGTTTGTAATCTCTGTTTACTTATATATAGTCTGTTTTTTTTGGTACATAGGAAACTAATGTTTTATTTTCCATAAAAGTAAACATGCTTGAAAAGTCTTTCTTATATCTTGCTGGAAGTAGTTCTTTTGGAATATAAGGTTTATTTTTACGCAGTGTACCACACAAGGTAAGGTTTTTATCTAAAAGCTTATTAGCTAACTCAATACTGGTAAAAAGTTATCAGTAGTTATTCCATATCCTGAAGATAAATGGTTTACCAGGTCCATCACTACCCTTTGTCCTTAGCCTTTCTCCGGTTTTTTTCCCACTTTGCTTACAATTATTATTTTGTAATAAAAATCTACATTTTTTTGATGAAAAAACTTACCTAAATAAGGTTGCATATTCGCTGTATATGCCGAACTACACTCAGCCAGTGCCCAAATTTTTTAGCCGTACTTGTCCGGCTTACTCTTCATGTAAACCCGAAAAAGAGCCTTGCCTCGGAATGGG